ATTTTCAAACTTTTTTATAAACAAAAATTTAACCAAATATGTTTTATATAAAAACTCTTATTATATAAAAAGAGTTTTTTGATATAATGAATAAAAAAAGTAAAAACTTATTAGCAAAAAAAAAAAACAAAAAAACAAAAGCTGCAAACGCTTAAGAAGAATTTTTTTTTTAAAAAAAATTATATACAAGCTTTCTAGAGTTCTTACATTTATTTTTGACTTTTTAATCTTTTGCTCCTTATTAATAAAAAAAATAATTAGTTTGTCTCCGTTCCAAAATTATACATCAATCTGTCTCTATTTAATCGATTACAAAAGACTCTTAATCGATTAGGTGTCCAAAAAAATAATCGATTATAAATTTTTTTAATCGATTAACTTTCGGTTAAGCACTCAATTCACAGGAAGATTAGCTGTGATTTCCTTCTTGTTTGTGATTTCTTAACTTGTTTTGCTTTCTTCTATCAAATGAAAGATATTGCCACGGGGAACTTTCAACGCATATGTGAAGCGTATGAAATTTGGCTAGATCCAAATCACTAGATTTTGTATACCGATAAATTTTTTATAGGTAAGGTAATAAAATTTCCAGCCCAAATGACTTGATTATACAGAAGACACGTAATTAAGTACCTTCACTTCTCCAGATGCAGATGTTTTCTCATATTTCTTTTGCCACCCTACAACTCTATATGATTGTGGTCCCAAGGTAAGTTGTATATGTAACACAATTGAGATTGGAAAGATAACAGAAAGAAGATATTCCAAAACTATTTCATAATTCTCAATGTTATGAAAATTCCAATTCATCAATTTTCTGCTTTATTATGGTCAACAATTAAATCTCACAGCTAGTTAAAAGTAACTGAACATGTGGCCTCCAGATCACATGGCAACAACACTAACAGTTGTACCAAGACTCTCCTTCTTGAGAAATATACAATTAAAATAAAATAAACATTTCATTTTCAAATTGAGGTGAAAAACGTTAGAGATGTTCATGATCAACCACAACTCAGAAGTCAGAGGGACGAAAATAAGAGAAAAACCAATGAATAGAGCAATACCCTCTGAAGAAGCCATGACCATTTATACAGTGCGGCAAAGACATATTGGCCAGAATTGTACCAGAGGATCGAAAATGTGACGCCACCTTTTCCCGTTCCTTCATTCTCTTCAGCTCTGCCTTGACCTCTTCAGCTTTATCCAGCCTTGGACCAAGTTTCAAACTAGAGGTCAACCTTTCCATGCCATAGATATCATATATTTTCCTTTTATTTGGATCTGACAAAATCTCATACGCTTCACATATGCGTTGAAAGTTCTATGTGGCAATATCTTCCATCTGATAGAAGAAAGCAAAACAAGTTAAGAAATTGCAAACAATAAGGAAATCGCAGCTAGTCTTCCCGTAAATTGAGTGCTTCACCAAAAGTTAATCGATTAAATTTTTTTGCAATCGACTATAATATTTTTTTGACACTTAATCGATTAAGAGTCTTTTGTAATCGATTAAACAAGGACATATTGATATATAAATATAATTATAGAATGAGAGCAAATTATTTTTTAATTAATAAGAAGCAAGAGGGTTAAAAAGTCATTTTTTTTCGTTTCATCATTCTAAATTTTTATTTACCAATTTTTCTATTTACCCTAATAATCTATCCCAATAACAAATTAGTTCATCTTTCCTTCTTCAAAATATTTAAAACAGATTTATATAATCACCAAACAGTTTTTATCTTTATTTTTTAAGCTCTTTCTTTTAATTTTAGTTTAAAAGTAAATTTTTAACTTAAAAAAATATCAAATAGATCTAAGTTACTAATTATTTTCTTATAACAATATATACAGGATTTATTTCAATACCTTTAAATGAAAAAAAAAAAAAAAAAACAAGTGCAAATGTTCAATCCAATTACTCTTGGTCTATAAAAATATATGATGACCTTAAAAAATTGAATTACGTAGGCTAGCCGATTAGCTGAGCCTATCTTAACATTCGAATGAGGCACTTTGACACAAACTATAATAGGATTCAGAATTTTATTTCCAAGATACGATTGAATTACTTGGTTCAATCAGTGCAAATCTGATGCTGACACAATAGCGGATTTAGAATTTTTTTTTAATGTCTGCATACTTAGAATAAAAGAATAAAGAAAAAAAATTTTAAATTTTTTTTTAAATATATTAAAATACAAAAGAATATATATAAAAAAACTTAAACTTAATATAAAAAAGTAATCAAGAGTCAACTAAACTGTTAGAATAGAACATTTTGGGTCCTCAATAAAAATTATGGATCTCAATTCAATCTCTTAGGGGAAAAAAAGTCTACTCGTGATCCCTCAGATTGAAAAATAGATCCAGATAATCAAAATTATGGTCCTTTGAAATTCAAAAAGACCCACATTAATTAATCTCTAAAAAGGACTAACATGCAGTGGCGGAGCCACGTCGGAACTTGCAGTTGCCTTGGCACTGACTTAATTAGCCACGTTCATTTAGCTACACTTGAACGTGGCAAATTCTGTTTCAATTTTTTTCAAAAATTAGCCACGTTTGGTCGTAGTCAAAGAACCGTAGCTATTTGGGCACTAACTGAATTTTTTGGCACTAGCTGACTTGCCATGCTGGCTCCGCCACTGCTAACATGAGTCTATTTTGGATTTTAAAGGAATCACAAGTCGACTTTTTTTTTAAGAGATTAAATTGAATCCTGTGATTTTTGTTCATGACCCAAAATATATTTTTTTTTTCTTCAAAAAATTTGTGTGTGCATGAACACACTAAAACATAGCGCCACTGTGGTGAGGAGAGTCCATTTATTTGCTAGGTTTTATCCACACACGCCAAACAAACCTCAGCTTGCTACTTTTGCATTGTTGAGTTTTTAGTCTTAAATTTTTTAAAACAACTCCGTTTCATTTTGTTTTGCCTCAATCTGGTTCATCCCAGCCTGTATTGTATTACATTAGCTCAATTCCAGAAGCAACCAAATCTTGTTTCCAAATATTTTGTCTAATTCTATCTCCATTCTCAATGCAGTCTGGCTAACAACTAAAAATATATTCTGTAAATAGATAACGGAACAGGAGTTTTAAATTAAAAAGTTTAAGAGATTAATGTTTCTTCGGAGATAAGTTATCTCCGGTGAATATAAAACGACATCGTTTTGAGGTTGAGAAAAAGATATTTTTGTTATTCTAATTTATCACAAGATTATATTAGTCTTTATTATTATAATTTTTTAATTTTTCAACCCTAAAATGACGTCGTTTTGGATTCACTAGAGATAACATATCTCCATTGACCGGAGAAACAATAAACCTAAAATGATATTAATATTTCTTCGGTTAATGGAGATAAGTTATCTCCAGTAAGTTCAAAACGACATCATTTTGAGGTTGAGAAAAATGTATTTTTGTAATTCTAATTTATTTCAGGTTATATTAGTTTTCATCATAATAATTTTGTAATCTTTTAACCCTGAAATGACGTCATTTTGGACTCACCGCAGATAACTTATCTCTTTTGACTGGATAAACATTAAACCATATTGAAATATGTAAAAAATAGTTTTTTTGTATTGATACTCTTGATTTACACTAATAGAAGGTATTTATACAAGTGAAAAAAATGAAAAAAAATAGATAAGAACGACTCAGTAATGAGTCATCAGTCCTATCCTATCTGACTCAGCAAATTCGAAAATTCAAATATTCTAATTTCCTACACTTCCATTCAAGTTGGGGTGTGTCAGAACGACTTCCTCCCAAAGGTATTTTGGGAGGAAGTGTGAGATGACATTCGATTGATAAGGTATGAGACAGTGAGAACGACTTCCTCCCAAAGGTATTTTGGGACATTCATAGTGAACATAAGGGCCCGAGCAACTTTAAGGAGATGTCAATTTTTTCTTTCAGCAACTCAGTTTTGTTAGGGTATGTCAGAACATGAGCTTTAGTGAAGAATGTCATGTTGGGAGAAATATTCTCCTAGAGTTAAAACACTCTTAGATATTATCTGTACGAAGAATTTGTATAGCAACTTGGAATTGGGTTTGAACCATGGCATGAATTTTTTTGAAACTCGATGCAACATCTGACTTGCCCTTTAGATAGTATACCCAACAAACTCGGGAGTGGTCATCAATGAAAGTAATGAACCGTTGAGCACTTGAAATATTCTTTACACGGGCTGGACCCCATATGTCACTACGAATAAAAGAAAATGGGGAAGAATCATGGTGAACTCTTATATCATATTGAAAAATGTAAAAAAGATTTTTTTTTTTTGTATTGATACTCTTGATTTACACTAATTAGAGATATTTATGAAAAAAATGAAAAAAAGATAAGAATGACTCAGTAATGAGTCGTTAGTCCTATCCTAAAATGACCTAACAATCCTATCATATATATGACTCAGCAAATTCAAAAATTCATATATCCTAATTTTCTACAAACCCAAAATTGGATTAGTAGTAATTGGGAGGAAACCAACTAAAGCTTTTAGCTTAAGAAACTTTAGTGAGGGAAAATATTAAAATATCTAAAAATATATCATAGTATCATAAAATATTTTAATTATTTAATTAGGATTAGGAGTATTTAATTAATGTAAATAGAACTTAATTAATGCTTTTCCTTTTAGATCATATTTTATGACATAATCACACACTAATTAATTTCATAAAATATTATTAAGAGTCCTATCTTTTTTTTCATCACCATCTAAATTCTTAAAATTTCAAGAGATCATATTTACAGAATGTAATCAGCAAACCAGATTGAGCAAAGAGAGGCAAAACATCTTACAACAACCTTTGCACCATTTTAGAAAGACTCATTTGTAATTGCTACCGTAATTAGACGTGCGGTTTTATTACGCGCAATTAACACCTCAAACACACGCACACACAAACATTCATTTATTTTAATTAACAGTGCCTCCTCTATTGCCTCCAATTCTCTGCATCACATTCACGCTCATTATTCTTGATCATCATCAATCCAATTTGTTTTATTCAGAGTGGAATGGAATTCTTCCAAAAGGCCAAAGTGGTGCGCCTGAGGAGCCACCATGATAAATACATGTTGGCACATGATGATCAAGAAAATGTGTACCAAGATCGTAATGGGTGCTACGACAATGCTAAATGGACGGTGGAGATTGTAGAGAATGCAAATGTAATAAGGTTGAAGAGTTGTTATGGGAAATACTTGACAGCCTCTAATATGCCATTCATTTTGAGGGGCAGGGGAAAGAAAGTGTTGCAAACAAAGCCTCAAAGGTTAGATTCTTCTGTGGAATGGGAACCCATTAGAGAAGGAGTTCAGGTGAGGCTAAAGACACGTTATGGACAATATCTTCGTGGCAATGGAGGCTTACCACCTTGGAGGAACACCATTACACATGATGTCCCACATAGGACAGCAACAGCTAATTGGGTTTTGTGGGATCTGGATATTGTTGAGCTTCTACCACAAGCACAAACTCCAAAACCAAGAAGAAGGCCTACACCTATTACCCCACCAGATCGTTCTCTGAGTCAAAGTCCAATAGATGTTTCTCCTTCTTCTTCTTCATCTCCTCTATCACTTTCAAATATTAGCTCCCTTGTCAGAATTGATCTCAGGTCTACCACACCCGAGGTTCGTTTCATGAAAATCTAATCTTCTCTTTTATATATGAAATTTAACGAGAAATTCTTGAGAATAGCATAGGCCTCCCAAGTCCCAACCGTGCATGGACCACACATAGGTGCTCACTGCTCAAGAATTTCTCATGAGATCAAAGTAGGTGTCTTGTTTCCAAAGCAATTATATGATACTATAATCGAAAATGATGTTTTGTAAGAAAAGAGCGAAAAGTTATATATGATATCAAGTAGGTGTATTGACATGTCATGGGTGTTTGTGCATACTTTTAAAACTACTCTTTCTTCAACAACTTGTGTATTGTTGTGCATTTCATCTTTTTGTAGTTATCTTCGAAAATTTTCTATTTATTTGTGTTGTTGTTGTTTTTTTTTTTTTGGTGAAACACATTATTTAGCTTTAGTGTTGTTTGGTACGAAGAATATTTATAAAATTCCGAGAAAATGAGTTTGGGTAAATTGGAATTCAATGTTTGGTAACCAAAAAATGAAAACTATCTCGAGAAAGTTTTATTCCTGGATTTCAACTTACTGTGTAAAAGTGGAGACATATACCATCCAAAAAATACCACAGATTTGTTGGTATTCTTCCTTTCTCGGGGAAGAGGAAAATAAACCGCGAAATACTAGACTCCCTGCTCATTCTATCGTGTCTCTATCCTCTATGCTTCTTCTCATGCTCTCTCTTCAAACCCTTCAACCCGGCATAGAACCCATTTTCACTCTCTGAATTTTTGTTTTGGCTCTTTGTTCAACACTTTCTATTGGATCATCAGATATTAGATTCCACCTCTAAAATTTTCTTGCAAAAAAAAAGGGGACAAATTTTGCTCCTTTTGTGAATTTTGATTCATCTGGGCATTGACAAAATTTGATCTTTGTGTCTAGATCACTTCAAAGTTCTTATATTTTTCACTTTTAACGAGGTGGGTCAATCCGATTTCGATGTAATATTGGTGGATTTGATTTGAAAATTAGATATTTTGAATTCAAAGATTTATGGTTTTTTTTTCCCTGTGTGTGTTTTGAAATGGTCTATTTCCATAGCTCGATATCTTTTTGCAAATCCGTTGACCAAGCTCTTGCCATTGCAAATTCAATTTGTTCTGTGAATTTTGGTTCGAAATCAAGGCAAAGCAATCAGCTTTAGAGGAATCGGAAGAAACCCAGTTCATCAAATTCCTTTCCGATTCCACCATGCGATCGATCTCAATTGGCTGTGGTTGATGTGGTGATATTCATTGCTGTTGTTTGCGCTTGTGGGTTCTTGTTCATCAAAAAGCGAGATCCGTTGTTTCTATGTATTGTACAATGTTCATTATTATGTTTGAATCAAAATGGGAAGGCGGGGTTATTTTTGTAAAATAACCTCACCTTCCCACTAATATTATCAAACACAAACTCAATAAACTTAATCAAATAATCTTGGAAAATTTTTAGCCTACTAAACAACTTTGTAGTAACATTCTCTAAAAAATTAATATCCATTAAATTCTCGAAAATCATGATTCTCATATAATTTTTTCTTTCCTCTCTACCAAACACCCCTTTAGTGTATTTCAGGAATGATTCCTCACACCTTAATTTTTTTTGTCGGCCAGAAATTCTCTGGTGAATTTCTCGTAATTCAGTTGATTTCAATTTTTCTATATTTTTTTACAAATGTCTCGGAATTTGCTCTGGTCATAAGATTATAGAGTCGGTTTTCAAAATTGATTAGAATAGTACAATATAAACAAAATTCTAGAAATGTAAGAGCAGTCTGCTTAAATTTTTTCATAAAGAAGGATAATCGAAAAGTACTTCCTTCATTATACAAAAAAAATACACTCAAGAGCATATTATCAATTTGGCAAGTTTAAAAAAACATAAAAAGACTAACAATAATAATAATAATAATAAAAATGAACGATAATGGTATGGATCCTTGTTCATTCAATTTAAGTAAAATATGCACTGGAATTTAAGCCACTAGAATTGGTCTGATGCATGCTCATAGATTTGAGTAGTTTGTATTAGGTCATGGATTCAATTTCTACGGTTGTATAAAAGAAAGTATATACGCTGGGATTTCAAAGTTAAGGGAGGATTTTAAATTACCCTTATTTATATGAAACTGGTCATTTTACGCAGCTCGGATATCCAGATGAGTTCCGGTCACCGGCGAAAGAGGGAAGGATTATATTTTATGATGTGGGTGATGAAAACGGTGATGTTGATGATGCAAAGAAAGGGGCTTTCTTTACCTTTAAAGGAAGTAGTGTGAAGGAGTTGGAGGATAAGTTGAAGGAGGAAACAGGGCTTGATGATATACTTGTTTGTTGCCGCAACCCATTGACTACGAAACTTCATCCCATTCGTTTACAACTACCTCCTAACAATACTGACATGCATGTTGTGGTGGTTTCTTCTTCATTCAAAGGTGAGCTTTTTTTTCTAGCTGTTTCTTTTATGTTACCATTTGCATTGCATGTTCAACAATCTTTCTCTAACACATTCCACCCATTAGGTATGAGTTTTTGTCTTGAAAAGTGGATATTGTATAGGTTCATTTTTTTGTTCTAGCTTGTATTTACTTAATTCCAATAGAAAGTGGAACGTAAAGATCAGAACTTGTGACCTCGTAGTCACATAGACTTTGATACCATATAAAACAATCATTTCATATAAAAGTACAAGCTATTAATTGCAGGTCCATCAATGATTTTTTGTAATATCTCTCTAACATATTCTTTGATCTTGAACGTGATTTTATGCAACCTTAATATCTATATGGGATGGTGTTGATAGGTTGTCTTAGGGTTTTTAACTAGCACCTTTTCATGCTAAACACACAAAAAAGAGAAAAAAGTAAAACAGAGAGAGAACTAACCTTTCTGAGAAGTGATAATGCCTCCTGAACCTTGATTATACGTAACATTTTGGATTTCATTATGCTCATTATGAAAGTCTAATTTTCCTCCTGCTCATGATTTTGTTCTCACAATATGTGTTGTCTTGACTAAAGCCACCCCGCCAGTTCAATGACACCAGGAGGTCACAGTTCTTTGGCAGTTGAATGTTCCAATAGTTGTTGTATATGCACATTTGCCGAATTAAAACTGCAATTGCGAGCGAGCAAGCCAACTAGTCAGACATTTAAACCACAAGGCAAGAAGACCCATCATGATGTTGCTGCTGGAGTTTAGCTATTTGAGATGTAATGCAAACTGATGATTTCTTTTTCTCTATATATAATTCTTAATTAGGAATTCTGTTTCCTCTTTCAAGAACTACCAACTGGCATAACCCCTTAACGAAGTTATAGCTTTTCTAAACACTTCTCCAATCTGATTAATACTCCCACTGTGCAAAAAGATACATAGCCCCCCAAAATGCAGATTAACCTCTCCATTGAAACTTTTGCCACAAGCAATGTCAGCAGAACCAAAAATAAAATAAAATAAATTCCATATCTTGTGCTTGGAGATATTCCAGAGCAAGTTCAAGTGAAATGTACGCCGAAAATGTCCAAGTTAGAAAAATTTGCTATTCTCATACAATATTCCTGACTGCTAGCATATCTTAAGCACAATTGAACCCTGTCCAGATAGTTGACAATTTTTTTTGCAAGAAATTTCTTACTTGAATGAACACTTCAAGAATTTCATACAACAACTTGGAGATATCTACAGCATAAGATATACCTCTGTTGCACATTTGGTCCCAAACTCAAATCATTCAAGATATGACTATGAATAGAAAGGGAGAGCAATACAATTACTCGTTTAATTCTTAAAGAAATAGAAATAGTAATGCTGGCTGCTAGGTAATGATTTTCTTTTTTAGCAAAAAAAAAGTGGAGATTAATGTTTCTCTAGAAGATAATTATATGCCCTGCACACACATAAAGGTGTAACGGACCCATGTGAAGCTATTTGAAGATAAGAGAAAGAAAGAAAAAATATAGATTGCACACGGTGTGTAGAAGATAAAATTTATCTTCTACCAAAAACATTATTCCCAAAAAAGTTAATACTCAATTTATATCTAACAAAAACTCACATTTGAAGAAGTGCACATCACATTCCAACCCTATTCTCTTCTTCACATCCTCATGAACCCCACCTTCGCAGAGAAAGAGCCTCTACTTGTTCACTGCAAGCTCGGTAGTTACACAAAACTCATTAGGCTCAACCCCTCAACCATCAAACTTATAAACACGGCCAAAGCCTCGGTACAAGTCAAACCTAACATAAGAATTCGACAAACAATTTCCGCGCATGACCCAAAACGTTGCTTACTTGCATTCCTTAAAAAAACCCTGTTCGATTCAAGCTTATAAATATTATTGGAATCTATATCATTTTTTTCATTCTCATATCTCAACTCGAGACATCTGATTTATACACAAGGGTCTCGAGACCATATTTGATTATTTGTGTGCATTATAAAAGAGGCTTTAAACTAATATAAACGGGGGGTGGCAATGTTAGGGTTTATAAACAGGATTTAACCCTTCATTTATAAAGAGGGTTTAACCTTTATTTAATGGATAAGATCCCGAACAAATCCTATAAACCAAGTTTGATTATAATCATTTTTCTCCGCACAACAGTGATGTTGCTCGCCAGTAACCACCTAGGTCACGTTAGCAAAAGCCGAGAGAACAACGTGGAAACTGTGAGCATACGCTGTCCGCAGCATGGTGTTCGTCAGGATTGAATCGATTTTGTAAGCAAAATTCATCCGATTCAATTCCTTCGGTTTGATCATGTAACTATTCATTCGGTTTAGATTTTTTTTCAAATCCGATCCGATCCAATTCAATTTTTTTCGATTTGGATTGGATCGATTTTTTGTTTTTTGAATATCCTAAAATTAGTTTCATGATTACTGTGCAAATAACATCTTTTGTATATATTGGCTTTGTAAATTTTTTTTTTAAATACAAAAATATCAGTAAACAATACTATAGTTGATGAAACGTGACTAAGTTTTTTTTTGGGTTTAGTTGATGAGTTAATGGGTCTTGAGTTTAGAAATTTTTGGGCTATGATTGGAGAAAGGACAAGTAGGTAGAGGATAATTAACATATTGGATCGATTTTTATCAACCCATCCGAAAATCGATCTAATCCAATTAAAATTTGCTATTTTTTTTTTGTTTTCAATTTTTCGGTTATCGATTTATTCGGTTATCGAATTTTCGATTCGATTTTCACGGTTTAAATCGGTTTGGATCGGTGGATGAACACCACTAATTAGTAGTGAATAACTCAAAAGTGAAGAAATGCTGAGCTAAATGGGCCGCGGGCCGTGAGCCGCGAGCCTTGAGGAAATGTATTCTTTTTTTAAAACAAAGAAGTTATTTATTCTAGAATTTATTTTCTCTTAAAAAATGTATTCCTTTTCACATTAAAAATTGATACAAACATCATTAATTTATTTTTGTTATAGTTTTTCTTTAAATTAATGGATAAATAAATATTATGTTGCAGGAAGAAGATTGTCATCATGAAACTATTATCAAAAAGACTAAGTTATCGAATAAAGTATCTTTTTCACTTTCTTTAATATTATTTAATTTGTCTGTTTAGAAATTCCTAGAACTCCTTTTGCATTTAGAAAATTTACAAAATCAAATTCTATAGTTTAAAAAAATATTTAGATGAGATTTTTTTTATTCAAGTTTTCATTGCATAAATACCTTATAATAATCAGGAAAGCAACATAGTAATGGATATATTATATTGAAGAGTCAATAAAATCCATTATAATGATGATGAGTACAAAAAAAATCCAATTTTTATATATTATATTAATAAATATGGAAAATGTATAATTAGAGGCACAACGCATTTAGATGTCTATAGGTGGAAATGGGCTGAGTTAGGCTAGACTTTGGCTTAAATAAGTTAAGTCTCTGTAAAAAATATTGGATATGGCCTGGTCTATTAGCCTGTGTAGGTTCCAAATTACAAATTTGTCATGACCTATATTCAACAAATAAAAGCTTTGGCCTAGGCCTGTTAGCCTGTTTAAGCCTATTAAACATTCAACAATTAAATGAATAACTAAAATAATATTATTTTATTATTCAAAATTATTAAATAATAATTTTATTTATTATATTTTAAATAAATAATATGATATAGGCCGGCATGTAAGCTTATAGGCCCGATATGTACAAAAAAGTCTATGGCCTATTTTCTAAATTTTAAAAGTCAAGGCCTATTCTATTTTACTACTTATAATAGGTCAAGTCTGACCTAATATAGGCTAGACCATAGACCCCTGTAAATTGACCTAAACCCATGCGCATGGGTAAAAATTTGAAATTTCTGTGCAAAATTGAAAGAGTGAAATTTCATAAACAAATGGGTGTTTCTACAATTTCACAAAGTTTCAGGGGTGTGAGCATAATATATTTGTAAATAAAGTAATGGCGCACGAGCATTTCCGATGAGATGAGAGACCATGGAAGCTAATATGCCCTTGTCCGTGTGTCAGCATAACTTAGGTTCTGAACAAGCAAACAACTTGGTCCTCTATCTTGGCTTTTCGTCACTTGTTCCTACGAATGCTTATAAACATGCAAGGCTTGTTTTGACCCCTAGAGAAAGAAAGTGCACTACCCATGTCATTTGCCAAGCTAAAAAGGTAGCCACTATTTTTGTTCTTAATTCTTTTGTCCATTTATTCTATTTCTAACCAGCTATGCTTTCAAACACCACTTGATATGACTAAGATTTTGGGTTGAATTTTACATTGTATGAGAGCTCACTTAGTGGTCATGAGTTAGATATAGATATCACCGCCTATTTTATTAATAAAAATAATTATATATTATGAAATTTCTTAATTAACCTACACCGTATGTGATGCATTATTTATTCTTCAAGTCCAATGTTCTTTCGTGTGAGGGAACATATTAGAGAAATATAAAATTATGAATATAGACTCACCGAATAGTTTAAGTTTTTAGACTAAATTAGTTCTTTATAGCAAAGTATATGTATGAATACTTTGTTTTGCAGTCCAAGGAGGAGCTGTTGGTGGTTGTTGGGGGTGGAGCAGCTGGTGTGTATGGAGCAATTCATGCCAAGACTGTGGCACCTCACCTCAGTGTGGTGGTTATTGAGAAGGGAAAGCCTCTCTCCAAGGTCTATTTTCATATTCCTTTGGCTGCTTGTGGATTATGCTATCTTGTTATTCAATTGTGCAGTTTTCTTATGGAATTTTTGGCAGGTGAAAGTTTCAGGAGGAGGCCGGTGCAATGTGACAAATGGTCATTGTACTGATAATATGGTAATCATCCTTTCTTTGTGAAATTAATTGGAGATATGTTTTATTGTGGCATAGTTTGTTAACTACATTGTATCATAACATTATTAATTTATAGTTATCAGCATTTTTTTTTTCAGAAGATAAGTAAATTAACAGAAGTTGATTTGATTATTGTAATCAACTGCAGGTCATTCTATTGGTTTCTTTCCTTTGATGAATTAATAATTTTTAGTCCTGTCAGTGTTGATTTCAGTCTTGGATATTTGTTTTGTTGTGTCCTACATGCTTCTAATTACTTTATTTGGTCTTACCGCAATGGTAACTTGATATGTGGAAGATGATTAGTTTGTAGATTTTGGCAGAAAACTATCCAAGGGGACACAAGGAATTGAGAGGATCTTTCTTTAATTTGCATGGCCCTGTCGATACCATGTCTTGGTTTGCCTCTCATGGGGTGGAACTGAAGGTTGTCCTTTGAAAAGCTGCTTATTGCTTGTTTCTGTTTGAAATGTACATCTCTGATTTATTATTAACTGCTCATAGATTGAGGATGATGGTCGGGTATTTCCTGTCAGCAATTGTTCTTCTTCAATAATTGATTGTCTCATGTCTGAAGTAAAGCGAAGAGGAGGTATGTTAACTTAGTGAGTAATACTTCCGGCGTTTTGTGTTGTGGATTCTGGTTAATGAAACCTTGTGTGTTTAAAACCTACTGAGCATTCTGTAACTTGCTTCTTATGTGTTCATAAACCCCGTCTGTCACTGTTACCTTTTTCTCAAGCTAAATCCTGGTCTATAGGTAAAACATTTTTGTAACTGGTGAACCGGGATTTTCTTTTTTTAGTTTTCTCTGCAGTCTGTTATAAATATTAGTTCAAGCCTTCGAGGTTCAGTTTCTCTTAAGCCAAAATGTTATACTGTTATACCAATGGTATTAATGTTCCGTAGTTTAGAAATTGCTTATTAGATTTAAAATATGAGTTGAATCTACGGTTTCTGTTCTATTTCATAATTTTTAATGAAGTGAACAGGTAAATTTATTATTTCAATGCAGAATATAATATGCAAAGGGGGCGAACCGGAGCAGTGGTAAAACTGTTCCTTCATGACTGAAAGGTCATGGGTTCGAATCCAGGAAACAGCCTCTTTGCAATTATGCAAAGGTAAGGCTGCGTACAAGGATTTCCTCCACTCCACACTCGCTAGTCGGGTTTAACGGGGAGTGGTTTTAGTATATAATATATATAAAAAAAAGTTATGCAGAAGATCTTTTTCACTTCTTGTTTGATTGCTTTCTCCTTTTGCATCATGGTAGGTTTTGCTTTTTATCATCAAATGGTTGAGCTCTGGAAGATATATCAAATGTAGTACATATTTTAGCATCTTCTATCTTTTTATGTGTCTGTATAATTTTTATTTTTATTTTCGTTTCCATAGAAAACATTAATATATTTTCATTTTGTAATTCATAATTTGTTAAGTAAAATTCATTATTACCTACTCCTCGCGACGTTTATCTGGGTTTAGTTCTACATTAACATGAATTATCTATTTCATGAAATGGATAATTTGTAGATAACTTGTTATATGTTCAAGTTGGAAATGCTAAATTGCATATTCATTGATCCCTATCGATAAATTCATCAATAAGTTAATAGAAGTCATAATAATTGTCCACTCTTTTCCCCCAATTGTCTTAGTTTTACATTTATTTGAATTCAGGATTTACAATGATGTCTGTTCAAATTGTCAATGCTGAACTCTGTCTTCTCAATTAGTTTCTGTGCAGACCAGAAAAACTGTAACAGCAGTGTCTGTTTTATATAGCAGCAAATTCCTTCTTGAGGTTGAGCAGCAACCAGCTGATCGTGTTGAACATGTTGAAGCTGATTATCTATTGATTGCTAGTGGTAGTAGCCGACAGGTTGTGGTGGATAATTGATTTATTTGAATTGAGATGCATGAATCAGATAACAATTTTTTAACCAATTTCTTTCTGTTATAGGGTTATACTCTTGCATCTCAGCTTGGTCATTCAATTGTAGATCCAGTGCCGAGCTTATTTACTTTCAAAATTGAAGATTTACGTTTGAGGGAGTTGTCTGGGGTAAATTATCAATCTGTGAAGCTCTTGCCTTCTAATTTTAAGAAACTTTCAAGTTCTAGTTCTTTTTCTATACCTATTTCCTTTTCTTTGCTATAGCAATTTTTTTGATAAAGCTATACAGCAGAGGCTTGCTTGTCTACTTTTTGTGGTATTAATGTGGGTTGCCATCATTCATTCGTGAGCTATATTGAGAAAGGGGAAACCAATGAATAATGTATTGCATTACTAAAGCTACTTTCATGAAGTGAGCCTCGAGTAGTGGTAAATCTGCTCCTTTATGACCGAATGGTCACGGGTTAGAATTCAAGAAACAACCTATTTGTAAAAAATATAAGGGTAAGACTGTGTACAAGGATATCCTCACTTCTACCCTCTCAAGTCGGGGTTTCATCTAAAAAATTACTAAACCTACTTTCACCATTAGAGATATATAAAATCATTAATGTAGCGAGTTCAATTGGTTCATTACATGGTATCAAAGTCTGGTTGTCACGGGTTCAATTCTCACCGCTCCCCATTTAATTAATAAATAATTAAGTTTTGTAGAGTTTCTTAACATAGGTAGGCTAAGCCTGATGCATCATCCACCCTTCAAGCGCAATGGGCTTTCGTGTGAGGGGGCGTGTTAGAGATATATAAAACCATTAATGTAGGCTGTAGCTTCGACCAACACCTTAAGCTCTTGGGTTGAATTGGTTCTTTACAACCATATAATAATCAGAGGCCAATTTACTGACTGGAAGATGAAATCTGATATAATTCTGTAAATTTGTGGAGGAGTGTGCTTGTGGCTTGCTGAAATCAGTATGTCCTCTGATCAAAGCCGTGTACACTGTGCAATCAATGATATTTATGATATGCCCTGGTTGTTGTTTTTCAAAGATAAGTGGACAGGAGAACAGTAGGTAGGTGAAGAGTTGAACCTTCCTTAGCACCTATTACACATAGGCCTTGCTTAATACTTTCCCTATTCAGGATTTAGGCCCTGATTTTATCACTATGTATACTTAACAACTGTTTTAATAACCAAGATGGAGTCTTTGAGATTCTGTTCATCTAGACACACATAATTTTTCTTTTGGTCGTCTTAATATCTATATCATGTTGAGGATTCAAACTCATTATTCAGATTAGTGATTATAGAATTGTTTCTATTTATTCAAGCTTCTTTTCTTCTCCTTTATATCCTTTACTTAATTGTCAGGTTACATTTCCTAAAGTTAAAGTGAGGCTAAAATTAGATAGTGTCCAAAGGAATATACCTCAGCTTACACAGGTATGTTTTATCATTGCCACAGATCAAATGGTGAAAAACATATATGCATAATATCTTGAAATTTTAGGTTGGTCCCATGTTAGTTACGCACTGGGGACTCAGTGGGCCGGTCATCCTTCGGTTATCTGCTTGGGGTGCTCGTTATCTGTTCAGTTCAGGTTACAAAGGTAAAGTCTTTTCCCTTAACGTGTTTGGAATCTTTAAAATTATTATAGAATTGAAATGAATTCTTGCATGAAACTGGTTTTGAATGATAATAGTTTAAGACTTCAATTCATTTATAAATCATTTTCATTCAAATGAATTCTTGTCAATTCTAAAGTGTTCCAAACATAGGATTTTTCCGTTTCCATTTTTCCTTTTACAGATATTGTTGTCATTTCGGTGCAGGGAGACTTATTGTGGATTTTATCCCTGATCTGCATATAGGAAGTTTGAAGTCCATTCTTTCTCATCACAAGCATCACTTTGCGGTAAATTATGTTTCTTGTGCTTAATGCAAAATTCTAGAAACCTACGTTACACTGTATTAGTTGGAAATGGTAGTTAATTTATATTATATTTATCGCGGTTCTAGTTTGATTAATATTTGTTGTATAAATCCTTTTATCTTGCTGGATATGTTATGGATTTTATGTGTTTATGAAGAACAAATTTTTTGTTTGGCTTAATAGTTGGAATTTCTAATGAGTCTGCAAAATCAAAGTACATGAACTCTGTCTAATGTCTTTTGCTGGTTAATATGATGTATCAAGTGAACCACAATCTTGCTATAGATTTCTCTTTCCCACAATTTTTTACTTGAGTTCAATGTAAGCGGTTTGATTATAATTTATAGGCTATTTCACTGTGAATTTCAACTATCATGTCATTCACTAAAAGATTGCAGCCAATTATGTTCAGAATGGTTGCAGTAAGTTGTTTTGCTTGTGCCTTTGCAGAAACAAAAAGTACTCAATTCGTGTCCTCCTGAATTTGGTATATCAAAAAGATTTTGGAGCTATGTGTTGGAACGGCAGGTTTTATATTCATTCATAATTTTTTTTTTTTTTTTTTTTTTTGTAAATAAAGAGGGGCTAAGCCCCATTCATAATATTTTTAATTAATGTACATTTGTAACAAAAAGAAAAAATTCTTTACAAACTATATAAATACTATTCATATGTAGGGTTTAAGTGGAGATATCTTGTGGGCTTCCATTTCAAATAGTTCATTGATGTCCATTGGTTCTTTGTTAAAGGACTGCATATTTGAAGTTACAGGCAAGGTAACAACATTTCCTATCATTTCTTTAATATTAATATTGTCATGTACCCTTGATAATTGATATAACATTTTCTTTTTTGTCCTAACAAAGGGTCAATTTAAGGATGAATTTGTTACTGCTGGTGGTGTTCCCTTATCAGAGGTTTTCTGTCTTTCTCACTCTTTCTTCTCTTCTACCTACCCTTCCATTGGTTAGAAATTATGATTTATCTACAATTTTTGTTTTTTTTTTTTGTTTTTTGAAGATTTCACTTAATACAATGGAAAGCAAAATTTGCTCAAATCTGTTCTTCGCTGGAGAGGTAGCTTAAATTTTATTTTATTTTTTTTAATTTGAACTTTCGGAGAAGTGACTATAACTCTATGTTATGGTAATCTAATGTCTATTGCAGATACTGAATGTTGATGGGGTAACTGGTGGTTTCAATTTCCAGGTAAAAGTACATGTGACTATAATAATGCAGGCTTAGTTGACATGTTATTAGCCCACAATTCCAATTTCTTAAGTTATTAATAATAATTATTCCCATGGAGAATATTGTTTTGGCTTGAGGTATATTCTTGTTTGAACTCTCGTTGATATTTTCGTTACACTTCCGTGCTGTCCCACACTTGGCGTTTTCAGTAAGATAACATAGACTCCGTGATTTTTCCTCTCAAATTATTCGAACTTTTCGAAGCATATACTATACAATATAAAAAAGAAACCCGTCAACCTAGGGTACTTTGATAGACGGTCAAAGTAGCCTCATTCTCCCATTATTTAATAGACATATAAAGTGGATACACTCAATCTTGAGCATTGATTTACTTGTATCTAATGACTCATATTACTAAAAAATTAGAGCCCTTAGATATAAGTGGGATCAACGATCAAGATTGAAAGTGTAACTTACACTGGTGTAAAATGATCCTAACCGATATATATATATATATATATATATATATATATGGTAAAATCATTTCTACAGCTGCTTTACGTACAACAATGACAGGTGTATGGTTATGATTCTCCACATTTAATGCTTTTATCTTTTGTATGGTAATGATTCCCCGTATTTAATGCTTTCAAGTATATATATGGCAAGTATTTGATTGCTGCACGTACAGCACTTGCAGAAATGTAAATTCTATATATATATATATATATATATATATATATATATATATATGAGTTTAATGTTTTTTATATTGTAGGAGATAAAATTATCTACTACACACATAAAAATATGTGGGGTTCATGTGAGGAGAAGAGAAAGTAAAAGAAAATATAGATTTCACACAATTCTATGTGTATGTAGGAGTTAAATTTTTGTATCTTATGTGACATGAGAAATATTAAACTTTATATTTATGTATATATATACGAGGTATGCTTTTTTTTAATAAAAAGTCTTTAGGAATACAGAATGCAATATAGTATTAATGTTTTAGTATGTACAAAACATTAGAAATATAGCAGAGTTTGAGGGTCCAGTTTTCCTAGGAACCACTGGCTCATTGACTTTTTTATAAAAAGAAAGGGAGAAGAACTCTATTAATCTGATTGATGGTATGCTCAAGACTGAAGAGCTTCATCCGTTTTCCTTTGTTCTGTTTGCAGAATGCTTGGTCCGCAGGATTTATCGCAGGAACCAATATTGGTGGATTAGCACTTCGCCTTTATTTAGGTTCATAGTTGCATTCTTTTTTGGGGCAACTTGGTTTTTCTTTTTTGGGGGTGCAAGTGAACAAGTATATTTGTCTTGTTCTTTTTGGATGTACTTTTCTTTTTTCTAATCATAGACATAGTTTGGTGGATGAGATTTTTGAACATGAAAAATCCTTAAAAAGTAAGTTGTTTAAAGTAATCTAAATGAAACTAAAGAATAGAAAATTATTATTTATCTAACTAGTTAGCGATTTTATCAATTACATAAATTTATTTACCAGATCTTTTTTTTTAAATATCGATTTCCACATTTGAATTCGATAATATTTGTGTATATATCAACTCGCTGGCGGACCGATGTTGACGCACATGTCCGCAAGTGCGGACATGAAAATTGGGATTTTAAATTTTTTTTTTTGTTTTTGTTTTGCAGGTTCTTAATTATGTTTTGTTCAATATTTATATTAGGAGTAAATACCATTTTAAGTACTTAATAAAAAAAACGGTCCTCCACTTTAGTCCTTATAAAAAAAAGTAGTCTTGAGATTCTTAAGAAATTCAAAGTGTATTAATTTAGTTAAAATCGTGATTCTTCACAAATTCAAAAAAAATTCACATTAGCCGCTCAAAAGGACTAAAATATGGGACCAGGCCACTAATTTTTTTTTTTGTAAGGGACTAAAGTGGGGATCGAATTTTTCGTTAGGGACCAAAAAGAGTATTTACTCTTATATTAGTTAGCAACGTAGCAACTTATGTAGATGATTAAAACAACGTAGCAACTCAAATTGATTAGAGAGAAAACTTATTCTTCCTCCCATGTCACGTATTCATTCTCATGCTCTCTTCATCCTTTCTTTCCTTTTTCATTTTTCTAAAAAGTGAGGATTGATTGCAGATCTGATATTTTCAAATAAGTTAATCTCTAGAGACGAGGTCATAACCTTGTACATAAAGCGTTAATCTAAATTGTTTTTTTTAAAAAAAAAAATTCGGGGAGTTACCCCCGTACCCTCACCACTAAACTGTGCGGACATAGAGAATTTTTTCTGAGTCCGCCACTGTATCAACTAATCCCATTTTCATTTTCCAAAATGTATTTCCCAAAGGGGAAACTATAAACTAAATTATCTTTGCCACCACCCAAGTGCAAAGAAAGTAAACTACGGTTTCGAGTTCTGACCAAGTTTTCATGAGGTTAACGATGAATTTGAATGACATGGTAACTTAAAAGGTTGGTCATAGGATCATGCGGTGGGGTGGAAGAAACCCTCTAAAAATTAGAAAAATTGATTTCACTACACCTGTCTAATTTTTATTTTTTTTTTGTAAATACACCTGTCTAATTAACTTCGAATATAATGACCCTATTTTAAATAACAGTTTGCTTTTTAATTAATGCATTAATAATGTAAGTCATACACGTTGTTACATTCATATGCAGTTGTCTTGAAAAGGGGATAAAGATGCGTCCAGAAAGCATCATGCGAATATTTCCAAAGTTCAAACTGGGTTCCGTAGAAAGCGTGTATACACCGTTTGTGTGTGTATTTAGTAGAGATTCTTGTTAATATTTATGGATTAATGTTTGTCAACGATGTTGGAGATAATTTTATTTTTATTAACACATATAAAAGTGTATGAGGTTTTTTGTATTTTATTTCTCTTTACATAGGTTCACATAGAGTCTATATATTTTTAAGTATGTATAGAACCAAAAGATAAATTATTTCTTACAATATGAAAAATATTAATTTTAATATTTATTATATATAATTGTTAGTACTAGAAACAAGTAATATGTTATCATCTTAAAATCAAAATATTAAAATGACATAAAAATTATTTATTTATTTATATTGATTCGTTTAATATTATACACTTAATATGCACATATAAATTAAATTTATACAAAAAAGTTCTTGACTTTTTCAAGAATATTATCATAGTAATGTTATTTCATAGTCATTTAAACTTTTTTTATAAATATAAATATTCCTTTTTAGTGCAAAAAAAAAAAATTTCTACCGTATTCACGTAACATTGAATGAGTCCCGTTATAACAGAGAGAGAAAGCATAAGTACATAGTATTAGTAACATAGATAAGGATGAGACATATATCAGGGAGATTGAAAATATTAAAGATCACGATAAAACGTATTTACTTAAAGTTTATTTTTCTGAAACTATCTCTCTCCTCTCCAAAAGTAATTACCGCATGCTTGGATCCTAATTTTGCAATAATCATCCATTACTGTACTCAAATTTACTTTCACCCAAAAAAATTGACTTATTACATTAATTATCTTTATGTATTAACAGCTTCGTTTGAATCACTTTAAAATAATATTGTTGTTAGTTATACAATTATATTCCCCTTACCAAATGTTTTCTTAGCTACGTGTTGTTAAGGGAATATCCCATAGGTTTCAAAGATTAAACCTTCCTTCTTTCCAACGAAACTTAGATATGATTAAAACTTTCTTCAACCATCATTCAATTTTGTGTTATTATATTATTAAAAAAAATTATCATTCAAATAGTCATAATCATGTAAGGAACTTAAAAAAAAAAACACGATGTAACTAAAATTAAAAAAACACTCAACTCCCTAGATATGAATTCATTTTGATATAACTTCTAGTCTATATATATGATGTGAATTCTAATTCCTAGCTAGTGTCTTAGGGAAAAAATTTAAATATTATAAATTAAATAAGAAAATACTAAAAAATAGCATTTTGGAACCTATTTACGAATGTATTGCAACGTCGTATCCAAAATGAGGCGGGACTGATCACGTCCAATTTTGAAAAAAAAAAATTTACCAGGAATTTGCCAGCGCATAGATCTCAAAAAATTATTTGAAATAAAAAAAAATTATCTGATTCGGACATTTAAGTCAAAAGTTATAGCCTTCTGCAATTTCACGGTAAAATTATTAATAATTTTATGCCACGTGTCATCACTGAGTGAGTCACGTCCAAAATGAGCGCGATCCACCCCTTAAGTGCCCAAAAGTAGGCGTGACCGGTCTGCTTTATTTTGGGCGTGTCTGATTGTTATACATTCGTAAATAAGTTATAAAATACTATTTTTTTGTATTTTCTTATTTAATTTATAATATTTAAATTTTTTTCCATAGTTGATGGTTACGTGGACAATCTATAAGTATAAAGAAATATTATAATGATTACTGTATAGTGACAATTAAATTTCTGAGGTATGCAAGAGAAAATACCATGCAAGTAACATGAATATCATACATATCATCTATATGATTATTTCATTAAATTTAAATTAGAAAATTAAAAATAGTAATTATTTCGTTGTTTTAATTACTTTCACCATCTCCTCATACATCTCCTATTTATTTATTTTTTCTGTTTTTTCTCGTAAAAACAATTTGTTACAAGTTCCACATTGGTTGCCACCAATCTATAACTACAAGCCTGTATTCCCCTGAGGGAAGAGGGCGATCTAACTACTGCTTACTTACCGTATCCATCAAAGAAGAAAGTAAGCAGTAGCAATAGATAAATAGGAGTGATATCAGTTATATACCCCTATTTCATAGGAACCATTCTAAAGATTTAAGACCTATGAAATAGAGGACATTACTGAATACTCTAAACTCCGTTTAGAGCCTATAAAACCATACCTTTGAGCCGATAGGCATAAGACATAATTTATAGCTCCCCGACGGAGGAGGGCCTTCTCCCTCTGCTTCACCACCTCCCTAAGACTAAAGCCCCTTTACCGAATTTTCAAAAGGTAAGAAAGGGCGTAGTCTCAGAAGGAGTATGAGAAGTGGTAAGTGAGTTAAAACACTTACCACATTCCCAATCTCCCTTTGGGAGTATGGAGCCAGCGTCGGTTATTCGGCATGCCTATACAACTAATGTGGGGTTTAAAAGGCCTTGGGCACTCTCACCCTTTGAGCTAGCTTTTAGGGTGGTGACCTCAAGGTCCGTAACAATTGGTGCTTTCATTGAGAGTTGATCCCATGGAAAGGGCTACCTATAGGCTGGATTAAGGTGCCTTTGGACACTGAATACTGATAGGTGAATGAAGCAGCCCAGGGAGAAAGGGCTACCGTCGGGTCAGTGTCGATAGAGTGAAAGCCGCCGTGGACGTCGGCCCTTAAAGGGGTGGCAATGTTACAAGTTCCACATTGGTTGTATAGGAAACTAATGTGGGGTTTAAAAGGCTTTGGGCACTCCTACCCTTTGAGCTAGCATTTGGGGTGGTGACCTCAAGGTCCGTAACAATTGGTGCTTTCATTGAGAGGTGAGGCCACAAAAAGGGCTACCTATAGGCTGGATTAAAGTGCCTTTAGGCACTGAATACTGATAGGTGAGTGAAGCCGCCCTAAAGGGGGGAAAGGGCTACCGCCGTGGACGTCGGCCCTTAAAGGGGTAGCAATGTTACAAGTCCCACATTAGTTGCCTATACAACTAATATGAGATTTAAGAGCTCTTGAGCACTCCCACCTTTTGAGCTAGCTTTTGGGGTGGTGACTTCAAGGTCCGTAACACAATTATTCTGTTTTTGTCATCAATGATAAACTCCAGATACAATGCAAACCAATAGAAATTAATACCCATACCAATTGGGTAAAAGCAGGAGACACTATATATCTACCAAAGTCATGAGTTCCTGTTTGAAACCTCTAATCTATTTCATGAAATGTCAATGATTCAGCCATACAAAAATCTCGTTGCTGAACTTTATATGGGCGGAATTCAATTAATGAATGTTGACTGATTTATATTATTCTGATTCGTCAAAATATATTTAACTTCAGAATGATATTATAATGTGAATTGATCACGTTTTATAATATTCAATTTTTCTAATCAAAACTTCGAATATTATACTAAAAATATATCAAATGTAACTCTCTACAATAACTTCTAACCTGAATCTTGAAGAGGTCAATTAAACTATAAAATAATCACAATACTTGATTCTGCCAACAAAATTATATAAGATGGAATATCACCAATTTAAATTTACCTGTTCTCAATATCCGAGAATTATACTCATCGTATAAACTAAACAAAACGAAGTTTCGGCATAATTAGGACTAAACTAATCAGCTTAAAATATCTTAGAATTGTTCTATTAATATATTAACATAGATACGGTTGCTAAAGTACCACAGTGAAACATGCTAAAACTAAGATTAGTTGATTCTGTCTTTAAATATCAAATAACAAGTACAATGAAACATCATGTCCTAATTTTTAATGTATAATAAAATTGAATTAACAAAAATGGAAGATGACTTGTTTGTCACAACAGCAATAAAAAATAGTTTGTCACGGATTACAATATACTTAAAATAATTAATTAAGGATTAGGTTCGTAAGTGCAAGAATCCCACTAATTGATGTGAGGCCTCGTTGATAATACTATAGGTAATCCTTTCCAAAATTCTTTAACGAGGATATTCATATCTAACCTCACTTAGATTTCTATTAAAAAAATATTGTACTTGTTTACCAAAAAAAAAACATTGTAGTTACATTTTTATATGTTTATTTTAAGTATTTCTTTATAACACTATTAAATCAGAATATTCAAAAGAAAGAAATAAAGGAATAACATTAATTGAGATTATAATCTAATAATGTCGGAACGAAATAGATAGAGTAGACACAAAAAAATAGACATAATATCATATAAAAGCAGAGCTTTGATTTTCTCGCATGATAATTATTTTATCGTGTTGTGACTCAACTAGTGGTGGACTACACACTTATTTTTTTAAAAAAAAGGTTCGCTTTTTCTGCAATCACTGCAGATAACTTATCTGCAGTAAGCCCAATACGATGTCGTTTCGGGACGAAAATCATGGTATTTTTGTAATTTTAATTTATTTCAGGATTATTATAGTCTTTAAATTATAATTTTTTAATCATTTAATCCCAAAACGACGTCGTTTTGGGATTGAATGATTAAAAAATTATCTACATTAACTGTAAAAATATTTTTTCTGTTAAAAAAATTACATGCAAATCGAAGAATCATAACATAAGAAAACATTTCTTATGCAATAACATATGAAGTGTTTTTCCCAACAAAAAAAGGAAAAAAATATTTATCTTTTTAAAAGACATAGAGTTGTGTCATTTTAAGTGAGAGAAAGACAAAAATTAATATTTTTTATTTAAAATTTAAATTTAAAAAAATCACCCATTTTTTTCTCCCATAATTTCCATTATACATCTCTATATCTTTTAAAACTGTACACACATCAAACCCTAAAAATAATGTACGGATAAAATATGACTAGAAAACAAAACAGCAATATGGTAGAAAGGTTTGGGAAAATGGAAGGTGATTTCCCTTGGTTATCACAACAACAAACAATAAAAATAGTTGGTCCATGATTCCAATATGCTTAAGACAATAAGACAGGATCTACGCATTTTAAAATGACGAAAAAACAAAAAGATTAAATTGGTATAGAAAGGGGTTGGGAAACCGCTATACTTCAATGATCTCGCATGTGGGGACCTCGAAGAATACCAAACATCTAATATTTAGGTGCTGAACACATCACATTCCACTTGTCTTTAATTGTATCCCTTAGCTCCAAGGTTGATTATAAATTATTATCACATGTCTCCCTCTGGGACAGTGATACAAAAAGCAGCAACATAAGAAAACTAAAAGTTGGGTTCACTTGGATCCTTTCTAATAAAGAGAATCAGAAAATCCCAAAATTGTGAACCTTTTTCCCTATCTCTATCCCCTAGTCTTCTTCCGGGAAAAAGTTTACCACCCTTCTTTCCATGCATATTCCAGAATCCCAAAAACGTACATTTCCAATACGCCCATAAGAGACCAATATACTCTCTGGCAATATTGCACCGATATCGATACAGAACATGTGATACAATACGATACGATACGACATTACACTACACTCTAATATTTTAATTTTAAAAAATATTAAATTTTGATACGTTAGGACATGTTTTGATATTATACAATATTTTTAATTTATGTAGTATATATTATATTTAATATTCAATAATTTAACAAAAAAATAAAGTTAAATTTATAATATCCATCTATTTTGTAAAGAAATATAAGATATCTCAAATGTTTATATTAAATTCAATAAAATAATAATCGTGATCCAACAAATCAAATAGTTAAAATTCAAAATACAACACAACGTAACCTTTGAACTTTTTTTGAATCTTTGCAATAAGTATTGGAGTGTCGGAAAATGTCGAAGTATCGGTGAGTGTCGAAAAGTGTCAGACACGATACGTCAGAAATTTTGAAGTGTCGGTGATTCATAGCTCAGTTATTCCAAATAATACAAATTTCTATTTAAAATTTCTCAATCATTATTTTTTGTTATTTATTATTAATATTTACCCATATTCGGTTGTTATATATAGCGCTTTTCGCTATCCATCTCAACATTTTTCCAATTCCCCCCTCCCTCTCTCTCTGTCTATATCTCTATATATACTCGAGTCGGTTTTCCTCTGTCTCTATTATTTATTTATTTATTTAATTTATTCGAGTCGCACGCTGTCTTAACTTCACTCAACTCCGTCATTTTTTTCGCTTCCTTCTCATGTGTGCATTTTCTCTCACCGGAATGTGCGGAGATTCAGTTAAGGCGATGGCGTTCTGTTGATGATTTCTCGTGTTGGCGCCATTGGAATGCGAAAAGCGAGGTTGAAATTGAAACTTTGAAAATCGGAAGTTGAAAGCGTGAATCGAAGGCAGCGAAAGGAGAGGAGGCAGTAGTTTTTGTCGAGATGGCGGTGGTGGAGAAGATCAAGATTGGTGTCTGTGTGATGGAAAAGAAGGTGAAATGTGGCTCCGAGGTTCTCTCTTTCTTTTCGCTCCATCATCATTCACTGTTTATTTATTTTTTTAATTTATTTATTTTTGGTTTTTTTGTTTTGGTTTTGGTTTTGCGTTTTGGTGGTTCGGTAAGCGAGGCATGTGGTGAATTTGAGCTCGGAAGAATGTGTGTGTTTCTGTTGCTCTGTTTTCCGGTCATCATTTTTGGAGTGTATTTTGCAGGTTTTCTCGGCGCCTATGGGGCAGATTTTTGACAGGTTACAATCGTTTGGTGAATTCGAGGTAGGTGAATATGTTTGCTCTTTACAAATTATGGTTTATTGCCGTTGAATTGGATTTGGCTTGTTCGTGAATCTTCTTCAAGCATCGGAGTTTGGATGATTTTATTTCTTTTATAATGCATAAAAATTTTACTTAGTCATTGTTTTTGTTTTTTTATTTAAAGTTTAATATATACGTATACTATATGAGATAAGATTAATTTACATCCTACCGATAAGATTAACCATACACCTGTCTGTACGTAAAGCGAATATAGAAATTATTTTCTATATATATATATAGGGTTATATTTATCTTATGTTGTAGGAAAATAGTTGTCTCATGTTGTAGAAATAAAATCACAAGTGAGACCCACATGTAAGAGGAGAGAGAAAAAATAAATGTGGGACCCACCTCCATTTTGTATGTGTAGGAAGCTTGTTTATCTTATACAACATAAGATAAATATAACTCATATATATATGAGGAAGGTTATACTTACAACCTTTCTTTTTACAACCTCTTACAAACATATCTTAACACCGTTGATTTCCGTCAATCAACGGTTATCATTTACTGTGAATTAATAATTAATTAATGAGTTTAATTTGCGAAAATCATAACCGTTGATTGGCGGAAATCAACAGTGTTATAATATGGTTGTAAAAGAAAAATGTTGTAAGTATAACCTTCCTCTTATATATAAGGTTTTATTAATCTCATGTTAAAGGAGATAAGTTATCTCATGTTGTAAGTATAACCTTCCCTATATATATATATATATATATATATATATATATATATATATGAGGTAGGATCCTTTGACACCAGTGTCAAATTTAATCTGAGAGCTGTTAGATCAAAAAAGATCAACGACTCTAAGTTGTAAGCATGTGAACCATTGATCTTTTTTTATCTAATGGCTATCAGATGAGGTGTCAAATTTCAAATTTGACACTGGTGTCAAAGGATCATATCTCTCTCTCTCTATATATATAATAACAAATTTTATATTCAATCTTAACCGTCGATTTTTGATACATGACGATTATGATTAATTGAAAATTAATAGTTAATTAATGAGAATAATCCAATTAATTATAGTTGCTTGATGGACGGAAATCAACAGCTAAGATTGAGTGTAAGATTTATTATTTTTACCCCAGTGTAAATTGATCATTTCCTATATATATATATATATATATATATATATATATATATCCAATTAATTATAGTTGCTTGATGGACGGAAATCAACGGCTAAGATTGAGTGTAAGATTTATTATTTTTATCCCAGTGTAAATTGGTCATTTCCTATATATATATATATATATATATATATATAGGGTCAGGATCATTTTACACCAGTGTAAGTTACACTCCTAATCTTATCCGTTGATCCCACTTATATCTAAGGGCTCTAATTTTTTAGCAATGTGAGCCATTGGATACAAGTGGATCAATGGTCAAGATTGGGTGTAAGACTTCTAACTCTTACACCGGTGTAAGAATATCCTGCCCCATATATATACATATGGGTTTTATTAATCTCATATTAAAAGAGATAAGTTATCTCATGTCATAAAGATAAACTTGTGGGCTCCACCAGCTGAAAAAAAGAAAAAAAAAGTGGCACAGTTATCGAAGGGTGTGTAGGAGGAAAAACTTATTTCATGTAGCATGAGAATAGTTTTTTCCTATATATATATGGGGAACAATATACTTATCACCAGAATAGTTTACCACCTTTACAACTAACTTAATCACAGTTGATTTCAGTCAATCTAACAGTTATAATTTATTAGAAATTATTTAGTTGCATTTATTAATTAATTTCTAATTTCCAATAAATCCATTAAATTATAACCGTTAGATTGACGGAAATCAATAGTGATTAGGTTGGTTGTGAAGGTGGTAAACTTTTTTTGTGGTAAGTATATCCTGGTCCTATATATATATATATATATATATATAGGAAAAATATTTCTCCAGTCATTGGAGATAAAATTATCTCCAGTGAGCTTTGTAAGATTAAAAAATTATAATAACAAAGACTAATATAACCTTGCAATAAATTAGAATTACAAAAATACCTTGATCTCCGTCCCAAAACAACGTTGTTTTTGGATAACCGGAGATAGTTTATCTCCGTTGACTGGAGAAATCCTTTATCTTATATATATATATATATATATATATATATATATATATATATATATATAAAGACTTTAATGTTTCTATAATGAATATAGATAAGCTATCTACATTCACTCCTAACCCATATATAAAAGTAGTAGTAGAGAATCAGAGATGGTTCGGTATAGTAGTACTTTCAATTTTAATGTATTATTTGTTTATTTTTTATTTTTTTTCTTCCTTAATATTTTGTATTATTTGTAGGTCATACATTTTGGGGACAAGGTGATCCTTGAAGAGCCAGTAGAGAGGTATTATAGTTGATATCGTTTGCTTGAAAGTTGTTTGAACTCACTTTAAATTTTGGAGAACAATTTTTGTGTTTTTTTCTGTAATGGGAAAGCTAAACGTGGGGAACCAAGTGCCTTCTTTTATTATATTGTATCCAAGCGAGGGATCAGACAGTTGTGAAGAAAGGAAATGAAATTAAAGTAAAGTGGTATTTTTATAATTATTAGCAACTAAAAACGGACCCAGGAAACAAATTAAATACTCTCTTACTTTTGCAATTTTCATCGGGAGCAAATGATGGAATATTTTTGTGTATGTGAAAAGTTTCATTAACATGTTTCAGTAAAGTCTTTTATTAGCATTTGGTTTTTTCTGGAGTTGACTGGTGAAGTGTTTGATGTAGAAGTCCCTCCATCTTTCAATTCTGACATGAAGTAATAGCGACTGCTGATGTTGCTTTACAGCTCCAATTTAGAATTTTTAACTTACACTTCTGAATTCACTGCTGAAAAGTTTCATCACTTCCATCATAAGCTAAGGATTGAGTGGGTTGTGATGTGACAGCATGAATCGTATTTGCACTTCGAGCATTTAAGTTATAGCTGAACTATTTTCTTTTTGTCAACCTCGTGGGTGTTTAGAGTCATGTGGTTTGAATACTAAGTTTAAATGTTGTGTTATTTCAGCTGGCCAATATGTGATTGTTTGATTGCTTTCTATTCCTCTGGATATCCCCTCGAAAAGGCTGAGGCGTATGCTGCTTTAAGGAAGTAAGCTTGTTTATTTATCAGCTATATTTGATTTATATGTCATACGTATTTTTTTTGGTCATCAGCCTTATATTGCATTACACTATTCTAAGACATACTAGAAATACTTTTAGGCCCATGGTCAATTACACACCCATGATAATGCTGATCTAATATGACAATACATGTATGCTAGTTTCTTGACAATGACCATCTAAAAAACTTTATTCTCTGGTGTATTTGGTTGAGAGGAATGCCTGTATTTTTAAGAGCATCTCTTTGCCTTTCATTTGATATGATAGGATTTTGTTTTTTGTGCTTTGCTCTAGGGTATTTCAAGGGAACTTTTATTTCTGATGTAAAAATTGAAGAGATTGAACTGTTTTGCTGCATTATTGGGCTACTTTGGGATGATGTTCATTTTTGTTTTTCTTTCTTAAGAGGATTAAACATCATCCCTCATATGTGCTTTCCTTTAGTTTTCTTTTTAATATTATTCTTTTTTTATACAATAAAAATTGGGTTCGCTTTTTTTGCAGTCACCGTAGATAATTAATCTGCAGTAAGCTCAATACGACGTCGTTTTGGGACGGAAATCATGGTGTTTTTGTAATTTTAATTTATTTTAGGGTTATTATAGTCTTTATAATTATAATTTTTTAATCTTTCAATCCCAAAACGACGTCGTTTTAGGAGTAAATGCAGATAACTTATTTGCAGTTACTGCAGAAATATTTTTCTGATAAAAATTTATAGCCTTGTTTATAAGAAGACACAATTAGGTATGATGGGACACCAAGGCTCTGATACCATGTAAAGAATCAATTTAACCCAAAAGCTTAAGCTATTAGGTGAGAGCCTCTTTAATGGTTTATATTATACTCTAACAGGTATCTCGACTCTAAAGAATCAATTCAACCCAAAAGCTTAAGCTGTTGGGTTGAATTTGTTCTTTACATGGCATCAGAGCCTCGGTGTACCGAGTTTGATCCTCACCGCCCCCCCACTTTCTTTTTAATGGAATTTCTTTCTTCGCACAGGTAGGTGGGCCTATGCATTGTCCACCCTTCAAGCCCAGTGGGTTCTCGTGTGAAGGGACGTGTTGAGATATATAAAACCATTAATGTAGCTTGGTTGAATTGGTTCTTTACATGGTATCAGAGCTCTCGATTCTAAGGGCTCTGCTTCCGCACCTATCGCCTTTAGAGCGAAACCCTTTAGTTTATTGATATATTTTTTTGCCTCTCGCTGCCATCAGCTGCCACCAGAAAATTTTTCCGGGGACCTTTTGGACCGAGAGGACCACTGTTGACCTTGTTTTTCTCTGATCTATCATTCTACGCACTGTTTCTGAGTAGCAAACAACTCGAACACCTCCGACCGCCTCCAACCAGATCTGTTTACAGCGTTTGGACACTTTTCCGGCGACCTTTCAACTCCGACCAGCCACACACAGGTTTGTGCTCGTCGGACGACCTCGCCGTGAAAAGCTCAGTCCCAGAAGACACTGCACGTGCTCTCACGCACATCGACTTTCTTGAATAAAAACTTTGAGGCTGCTTTTTGAGAATGATTAAAATTGATTGATTCTGGAGTTAGACCCTGACTTCTTGGAAGATCTTGAAATCTGCACTGGCTGTCATTGATCCACTATTGGTTTGACTTTCACCTCCTTCCCCTTCGGTGGTTCCTATAATATTGAATCTAACAATGTGATGAAATAATTTTTTTTACCTGTAGAAGGATGTTCGAGATATCTCATTCTGTCTTACTGAAGCATTTTTCTTATTTGATAGGTGTGACTGTAGAGTTGTTGCGTAAAATCGGCAAGTGTACCGATCGTACCAAGTAATAAAATGATGAGTAGAGTATCGTCTCCACGAGGATTGAGGCACCGAAGTTATTATAACTATTCCTCTCTTGTTGGATAAATAAAAATGGTTTGAGAACAATTATGGTTTGTGAAATAATTGAGAACTATTCAAGAAATTGTAAATGATTCAAAAGTTCTTAAAGAAATTCAAGAACAACGGAATAAAAGTTGAGTAATTAATTGAGAGAATATTGCGGTAAAGAGACGCCAACACCTTTATGATCCCCACCTTGTAACCTGAGTTAACGTTTACATTCAATTATGCAATTGATCAAACGATGCACTATCTTTTATTTAATTGGTTAAATCCTAATTCCTTAGTGACTTTAACCTTATTAACCCTATTAGGATCCTAATCCCTTAGAAACCCCTTTTCAAGTTAATTCTTTTAAACTAGTGAATCTTTCACGTTTGCAATTCATGTAGCCTATCCCTAGTGCATACATGAACTGTTATTTTACCCTTTGTCAGGAATTAGAATCTCAATATTCCTATTGAAAACCCTAACCCTCGCAATCCTAATAGAGTGATCGGTTCTAAAAGAATTATAAGATGAAGAACAGGATAAAATAAATGCAATTGAAATAATTAAATATAAAAATTAACCAAATTACAAGGGGTTCACTTCAAGGGTTGTGACCCTTACCACAATAATAAAAGACTAGCCAGACATGTTCATGTCTGACAATTCAATGTGTAGAAAAGAATTCATAAAAGAAACTAATAACCAGAAAATTTGGAGAAGAAGCTTGCTCCGCGTTCTGCCTTCGTCAATTTCTCTCTGTGCAAAAGTTCTCTCTCTTTAGGTTTCTGACTCCTTTTTATAGCCAATGACTCAATCAGGTCAAAATCTTCCAAAAGATTTGATTTTTATTTCTGTTTTCGTCCAAATCCACAATTCAGAAAACTAACAGCACAATGCCGCGCGATTAGCGCCAGATCCACGCTAATCGCACGGTGAACCAGTGGAGAACTCCATTCTTGGCGCGACTAGCGTGAACACCGCGCTATTAGCGCGGATTACAATGGTATTTGCTCTTTCTTCCTGGATTTTGGCGCGATCCGCGCCATCCTCATGCTATTCGCGTGAAGTAGCCTTGTGTTGGTTCCCTTTTCTTGGTCTGATGCCATCCTTTTGTACCGCGTGAGTCAGTTGTTTGCAACATAGCTTAATTTCATGCTTTTCTTCCTATAAAAACATACAAACAGAGTGAAAGTGTGCCTGAAGGAAGATTATCAAGGATTCATTAAAAATGCTACTTTTTATCACTGAATTACTGTCATATCCTTGTTCTTTTTACTCTGAAATACGTATATGCTGAAGGCACATCAAGAGTCAGTTGGCTATTGCTCAAATTTAATGTGAATTTTCTCTGTTATATTGGTTTCTGTTTTTCAGACAATGATGAGGTCACTTAAAATATGTACATTCATTGAGTAATTTCATAAGATAATATCTCCTTTTTTAATATATCCCTTTGCTATATTTTGCTGTATTTTCACTTTGAATGTTTGTATGAGATGGTTTATAGATCTAAAAACTACTCATGTACTGTGATCCAGACCTTTTCTAGTAAATGAACTGGAGCCCCAGCACCTTCTTCATGACCGAAGGAAAGTATATGAGGTAAATGAGATCAATTTCATTTCTTTTTTTCTTATGCTTGTGCTCTAAATTCTATGTAAAATTCAAGTATGATGAAGCTATTTTTTTTTTGTGGCTTGAATGCTTTGTAATGTGATGTAAGCTGATACCTGTGGGTTACATGTAAAAAACCTTGACTTTTTCTTCAAGGACCTTGTTTCAAATTAACGGCTGACCTGTATCTGTATGCCATTGTTATTAAAAGTCTGATATTATGTGTTGCTTACATTGCAAAACCAAGCCAACACATGAAAAACTTCAATTTGAGTTTTTGTTAGTTTCAAGTGTTACTAAGGGGGGGAAAAAGAAAAAAGAAAAAAAGCCATTCATTAAAGTTGTCTTGGTCTTGGGCTGGTCTGTTTGTCATTTCTGTCCCTCCCCGCACCCCCTTTTTCCCTGGGGCATTCATTTAAGCATAGTGCAAGTCATATTTCTGTTTATTCTTGATAACTGTGAATGTATGACCACATTACATCCAAAATGCTTTATGCTATTTCTTTTCTGATATATTTCTTTAATATTGTTCAATTTTGTCTCTCAAGCGTCTTGAAATGTTTGGAATACCTGTTCCAAGATATGCCCTTGTAATTAGGGAAATCCCATATCAAGAACTGGATTACTTCATTGAGGAAGAAGATTTTGTTGAGGTTCATGGTATGCGTTTCTGGAAGCCATTTGTAGAGAAGCCTGTTGATGGTAAGCTTGTTTTTTGTATTATAGGGTGAAATTCTTTACTTTGCTACTTGTTTCTTTCATTTGATTTCTACAATGCCACTGATATATATGTAATGGACATTAGATTGGCTTGTGTTATCATGAGAATGACTTTTTGGGGCTGAAGTCCCCCCCCCCCCCCCTCTTGTTTTACTACAGAACACAGATGTCAACACAAGATATGTGGAGTGGAGACACAAAATATTAAGAAAATAAGAGTAAAAATATGTAAACATTACTACCCATCCCAATATGGACATTTATGTGGATGAAAAATTAACTATGATGTTATTAATCAGTGATATTCAAATTTCAAGCACAAACAATTGGGAATAACTAGCTATGAAGCACCGATACTCCTTAAATTTTTTTCCAACGTATCGGATACGCGTATCGGAAACGTATCGGACACATATTGTTTGGTAATATCAATATGTATTATTTTAAGTGTATTAGAAACCAACTAGTGAGGGTAGATATTTTAAGTGTATTTAAAATATACTATAGCTTACAAGGTGTATTAGAAAAACCAACTATTGTTTGGTAATATCAAGAGTTTTTCTAATATGTATTATTTTTTCTAGTACCACCTTGTAAGCTATAGTGTATTTAAGTGTAAAATATCAAGAGTATTTTTTTCTAATACACCTTGTAAGCTCAAATGCATTTTTGATATATCAAACTTGTACAGAACATGAGTCCTATGCTGCTGTTCCTTTTTAGATATGTGTGCTGGTCTTACGAGTTTTATGACTTAAAATATTTAAGTTTTGATTCAATTGGTTACACAGCATTCCTGATATTAGCCAACCCATCAAGTGGGAAAAGGCTTTTGTTGTTGTTATTGCTATTGTGGGTAAAATAAAAATTTCATATTCCTTTACCGTGCTCTGCCTTTTACTAATTTGTCATGACTGTGGGGCGTAAGGTGACTTGAATATAAAATAATATGTTGTATATTGATCTAATTCAGAGAGTTACAATATATAGAGACTCTAATGGGCTTAAGTGAAAGGCCCAAACCTAATACAATCAGAATAATTACAGAATAATTACAGACTAATCATATCTAATATATTCTAACACTCCCCCTCAAGCTGGTGCGTATATATTGTGAGCACCAAGCTTGTTACAAATGTATTGAACCCAAGGACCTCTAAGAGCTTTAGTGAAGACATCTGCTAGTTGATCAGAGGAGTTGACGAAAGAAGTCTTGATTTCTCCTGAGTGAATCTTTTCTCGAATGAAGTGACATCCAATCTCTATATGTTTGGTCCTCTCATGAAAGACAGGATTAGAGGATATATGTAGCGCAGCTTGATTATCACAGATGAGTGTCATGGGTTGTTTCTGTTCACAAAGATGAAGCTCCTGAATCCACTGCTTTAACCAGATTAACTCACAGGTAGTATTTGCCATTGCACGATACTCAGCTTCTGCACTTGATCGAGCAACAACATGTTGTTTCTTGCTCTTCCACGAAATTAAGTTTCCTCCAAAGAAGACACAATAGCCGGAAGTAGAGCGCCTGTCCGAGGGTTATCCTGCCCAATCAACATCTGAATAACCACAAATTTCTATATTTCCCTGATCTGAATACAACAAACCTTTTCCTGGTGCTCCTTTGATGTATCAGATGATCCTCACAGCAGCATCCCAATGTGAATCACAAGGGGAATCAAGGAACTGACTAGCCGTACTAACAGCGAAAGAAATATCTGGCCTAGTCACAGTAAGATAATTGAGCTTCCCAATTAGTCTCCGATAACGTCCAGGATCAGATAACGGCTCCCCTTGTCCGGGCAATAACTTGACATTAGGATCGATGGGTGTATCATCTGGTTTACTCCCAACATACCAGTTTCTTCTAGGATATCCAAGGCATACTTCCTTTGACAAATAGAAATGCCCTGTCTAGATTGCGCCACCTCAATTCCCAAGAAGTAACGCAGCTTCCCAAGGTCCTTTGTTTGAAATGCACTGAATAAATGCTGTTTTAACTGACGAATTCCGTCTTGATCACTTCCGGTGAGAATGATGTCGTCAACATAGACTAACAAATAGATGCACTTGTCAGGAGATGTAATCCTATAAAATACAGAATGATCAACTTTACTGCGGATTAAGCCAAACGCCTGAATAGCAGAACTGAAGCGACTGAACCATGCTCGAGGAGACTGCTTGAGACCATATAAGGATTTTCGAAGACGACACACTTTTCCAGACTCCTCCTGAGCAACAAAACCAGGTGGTTGCTCCATGTAAACTTCTTGTAAATCACCATGAAGAAAGACATTTTTGATGTCAAGTTGAAGGAGTAGCCAGTGACGAACAACAGCAAGGGCAAGAAATAGGCGGACTGACGCCATCTTAGCGACCGGAGAGAATGTATCGCCATAATCAAGGCCAAAGATTTGAGTAAAACCCTTGGCAACTAGGCGTTCCTTGAGTTGATCAACATGATGATCAGGTCCAACTTTTACAGTAAACACCCAGCGACAACCAACTATAGACTTCTCTGGAGGAGCAGAAACAAGGTCCCAAGTGCAATTGGAATGAAGTGCAGTCATCTCATCAAGAATCGCTTGGCGCCACCCTGGATGGGAAAGTGCTTCACCTGTGGTCTTAGGAATAGAAATAGAAGAAAGACTAGAAACAAAGGTGAAATGAGGTGAAGAAAGACGGTCATAGCTCAAAAAGGTATAAAGAGGATAAGGTGACGAGTAGTACGTGTACCTTTTCTTTGAGCAATAGGAAGAGCCTCTGGTGAAGGATCTGGAGGGGAGGAATCAACTGCAGGGGGCAATGAGTCAGCAGGGGTCGAGTCGACAGGAGGCACAGTTTTACGATGCTGATAAGTGAGAAGTGGACGGTCCGCAGGTATTGAAGCAGTAGGTTGCTTATCTGGAATAGAAGTACCTGCAGCTGGCAAAGACAAGTCAAGAAAAGGGACAGGAAGAACATGATCAACCTGTGACAACTGAGATGGGATAGAATGAAAGGGTTGTTGATCAAGAAAAGTGACATCAACGGAAACTAAGTAACGCTTAAGATCGGGAGAATAACAACGATAACCCTTTTGAAGACGAGAATAACCAAGAAAAATACATTTAAAAGCTTTGGATGTTAACTTGTCCTTACCAGGAGTGAGATCATGAACAAAACAGGTACAACCAAAGACATGTGGGGATAGAGGATAGAGAGGAACATCGGGAAGCAATAAGTGATAAGGAATGTCATTATCAAGCACAGATGAAGGCATACGGTTGATGAGAAAAGAAGAGGCAAGGACTGCATCGACCCAGAAGTGAAGAGGAACATGCATGTGAATAAGAAGAGTCCGTGCAGTCTCAATGAGGTGTCTATTCTTACGTTCAGCTACTCCATTTTGTTGTGGAGTGTGGGGACAAGTAGTTTGGTGTAAAGTACCCTGTTTGGCTAAGAAATTAGAAAAGGCCACAGAAACATATTCCTTAGCATTATCACTACGTAAAATACGAATAGAGGCACCAAATTGAGTATAAATTTCAGCAGAAATTTTTTGATAAATAGAAAACAACTCAGAACGGTTTTTCATTAAATAGATCCAAGTACAATGAGAAAAATCATCTGTATAGGTAACAAAATACCGAAAACCTAAAACAGACACACTACGACTAGGACCCCAAATATCTGAATGAATAATTTGAAAAGGAGCATCAGCTCGTTTATTGACTCGATTAGCGAAGGAGGAGCGTATGTACTTTCCTTGCTGACATGACTGACAATCTAAAGTCTGAAGACCGGACAAAAGAGGAACCATCTTCTGTAACTTGGAAAGTCTAGGATGTCCAAGGCGACTGTGGATGAGTTGTGGAGATTCTGTGAGAGAACAAGCAACGGAAGGACTCGGCATAACCAGGTAGATTAGACCCCGTGTCTCACAGCCCACTCCAATCGTCTTCCCCGTACCCGGGTCCTGCACAGAAACAGAATGATTTGAGAAAGTGACAATACAGTTAAGAGAGTTGATCAATTTACTAACAGATATTAAATTGTAAGGGATGTTGGGAATGTAATAGACAGATGTCAAGGTCAATGAGGAGGTTGGACAGATTTGTCCAATTCCATGAACAGGAGCCTTAGTGCCATCAGCAAGGGTAAAATAGGGTAAATTATCAGAATATGTAAGGGATGAAAAGAGTTCCTTATTACCATAGAGGTGATCAGTAGCATCTGAGTCAAATATCCAAGGGCCAAGTGATGGAGAATGAGACACACAAGCAACGGGATTACCAGTTTCTGAAGCAGAGGCCTGAGACTGAGGAGAGACCTTTCTGAGAAGAGTCTGGAATGCTGCATAGTCTTCAGAGGAGAGAGAGACTGTACCATTTGAAGCAGAATCCGATTGAGCTATATTAGCAGCATGAGAAGGTCGCAGGTGTGGGTACTTTGTGTAGTAACGTTCCTCATAATGACCAAGTTGCTGACAGTAATGACAACGAGGTCGCTGACCACGTCCAACTGGGCCTCCTGGGCCACGTCCTCCTAGGGCTCCTGGGCCACGTCCTCCCGGGCCTCTGCTTTCTTTCCTTTGATTCAAAATGAAAAATCAAGCATAGACAAATTTTTTATTTTTTTTTTCAAAAATAAATTATGAGACAAAAAGCAAATTAGAACACACAGGAGAATAGTAAGACGATAATACTCGAAGAGTACTTGAATGTGAAAATTGTTATGGATTAAATTATAAGAAATTGTTTCAATCCAAAATGAATATTTGTGAGCACTGTGGATATCATTTGAAAATGAACAGTTTAGATAGAATTGAACTTTCGATTGATCAGGGTACTTGGAACACGTCCACCTCCAATGTTTCCGCGAAAGTCAGTACGGGAAACTAGAGCAGTAGAATCAACAGCAGAAGACGATGCAGGAGCAGATTTCTTATTCAGATTCAGAAGACGCTGATACGTCATTGATAGATCAGGCTCCCCACTAGTCAAGATAGTATCCCGGACATTATCATATTCTTCGGGGAGGCCAGACAGTGTGGCAACCATAAAGAGACGTTCCACCTGTTTCTGATATGCAGAAGCATCAGTAGGGTAAGGCAACATATCTAAATATGCCTGCATCAAAGATCGACTCTTGCCAACATATGTCTCCATCTGAATGTCGGATGATTTGCTCAGTTCCATAAACTGAGAGATGATGAAATAGAGCTGTTGAACATCATTAGTGTAGAGGTTTTTTGCTTCCTCCCACACTTCAGTGCAAGTTTGAAACGAATAGAAGATGTCCAAGACAATTGGATCAATAGATTGCCAGAGGATGCTTAGAAGCTGGTTGTCAATCTTTTCCCAATCAGACTTTTCCTCCTTAGGGACATCAGTAGACTTAGTCGTGAGGTGGCTCCCATGTCCTTGTCCAAAGAACCAAACTCGAAGAGAGGTGGCCCAGTTCTTGTAATTAACAGAACCTTTCAATTTTGAAGAGGTCATGGACCCAACATTGGTAGAGATGATATTGGGAGATTTTTTGACAGGAGGAGGTGGAGAACTGATCTCCGAATGAACAGGAGAGTTTGCTGCCATAATATGAAATCAGAAAGATCTAAACCGAGTAAATAGGAACGAACCTGATCACCGATCAAGAAGAGGTGCGCACAAAAAGTCAGACCCACAGAGAAACAATCACAGATCCAGATAGAGGAGGAGAAGGCGAGCTTCTCTGTCCAAGACCGGTCGGAAAAAAGCCGCCGGAATAGTGCTCACGCGCCGGCAGAATGTAGCCCGTGAAGCCCACGCGCAGAGGAGAGGGATGGCGCGTGAGGGCGCGTTGCAACTTCGATGGTGGCCGGACTTCCACAGAGGTGGTCGCCGGGAGGAGAGGGTGCTGATCGTGTGCTGACCGAGCTGAAAACTCGCCGAAAAAGTGCTCCTGCGGCGTGAACAGTGGCTGACGGTGGTTCCGGTGACCGTCGGAGGTGCTGACGCGTTCGGAAATTTCTTAGAAGGGACTTACAGTCCTTGATGTCTTGCCGGAAGGACGCACGACAAAGAAAAGATGACTCCTAAGCAGTGGGCTTAGGTTTCGAGGCGAAAACAAGGTTTCTAAGCGGAAGCGAGGGTCCCCAGAACGAAAGAGCTCTGATACCAACTTGAATATAAAATAATATGTTGTATATTGATCTAATTCAGAGAGTTACAATATATAGAGACTCTAATGGGCTTAAGTGAAAGGCCCAGACCTAATATAATTAGAATAATTACAGACTAATCATATCTAATCATATCTAATATATTCTAACAAGGTGAACTGAGATAATGAATCTTAGATAACATGACAGAATACAGGTTGAAACCATTTGCGTCATGCTACTTCTTTGGCATAACTCAATACTATATTGGCATTTACTTATTGAAGTACAAAACAAATTTGTGGTTATTGCTATTGTAAAGTCAAGTTACCTAACATAATTTTCTTGCTGTACCATATAATATATTAAATGAACGGAAGTTATATTCTCCAAGATGCCCTTATCGTGTAATTATTATTGAATTATATATGTTTGTATGCATACCCAATTGAAATTATTTTTTCGCAAATGTGGTAATAACTGTTTATTTTTTTGCCTTTGTGAAGCTGATAACCACAGTATAATGATATATTATCCCAGCTCAGCAGGTGCAGGTATGAAGGAATTATTTAGGAAGGTGAGCTTTAGGCTGAAAACTCACTCTCCATACGTAGGTGTCTCATGGGTGTAATAAGCATCGATCTATTATATTTTTTAGGGGGCGGGTTAACTTGGTTGGGATATTCATGTGCTATCTCCATTTATTATATTACAGTACAATCTTTAGAAAGCATACATGATTTGTTATAAATAAAATCAAAAACATCTCCATTTATTAACTTGGTCTCTTTTTGGGTACTACATTATCTTAGGTTGGCAATAGGTCCAGTGAGTTCCATCCAGAGGTGAGAAGAGTGAGGCGCGAAGGCTCCTATATTTATGAGGAATTTATGCCAACTGGAGGGACCGATGTTAAGGTTTGGCAGTTTTGAGATCTATGCTGCTTTGTTTTGTTTTATTTTGTTTTGTTTTCTATTATAAAGGTAGTTGGAATGTTTTTGACGTGTTTCTCTATATCTTTTACCATATTAGAATGGTATTTGAGAATTTCATCAAATGATTGTAGGTGTACACAGTAGGTCCTGAATATGCTCATGCTGAGGCAAGGAAGTCTCCTGTTGTTGATGGTGTTGTTATGAGAAATCCTGATGGGAAGGAAGTAAGTAGCATTGGTTCTCATGATCTATGCTTCATATGTCCTTGTCTGTCTATTTAGCATTACAAGATGGTTATTCTCTGAGTTATCAGTCGATTCCAGGGAAAGACTTTTGTCTTCTTAGGTGTCAACATATCATTTGCAGTCAAAACCACTTTGTTTAAAGTTTTGCAGTTTTAAAGCATTTTTTTCAAAGGTTGTGTGAGCTAAGAAAAAAAAAAAAAAAAAACATATCTGTGAGAAATTAGAAAAAAGAAAGAAAGAAAATAAACAAAGAGACTAAGAAAACATCAATGAACAAAAGCTACCCTATCTATCAGCATATCTGTGAGAGAGCATGAGCTTTACACCAAGTAGAAGCCAAGAAATCTTCTTAAAAGATGCAAGAATTACAGTCCAACCAAATTCACCAAATAGTGGCATAATTTGCAAATTTCCTTAAAATTTTCGCTTCTATCAGTGGACCACTATTATGTCACATAATAGTGGAATGGGTTTCAAATATTTCAAAGAGAGTGGAATGGAAAGATTTTTAGCATGTTTGTTAGTAGCTTATTTTGTGGAAATAATTGGTTTCCTTTTATCAAAAGCTCTTTGAGGAAGCTGCCAAAAAAAGCTTTTTTTTGCCCAAAATTAGGCTAATCCGAAAACCCACTTTGATTTTCACTTCTTGTTGATCGGGGAAGTGTGGCAAATTATTTTGAACTAACTTTTGTGTTGTACGAGTGGCCAAACTTTGTACAATACTACAGTGGAGCATAAGTGAGTTGCGCTCTACTTTCAATTGTCCCACATTTTTTGTTGTACCAAACAAGTGTGATGTAACTTTTTTTCTAAATTATCTACATCCTCAAACTAGCCCAGCCAAATCCTTGCTTCAGAGATTTTCTAAACCGTACCAGGCTCCATCCCGCTCTTTGATCTTTTGATTCTTTTTGGTTGCCTAAATTGGTTTTTCTTTTCCATTTTTTTGGTAATTGTTAGTAAACATTTTGGGCTAAGTGCTTAGAGCTGCATAAAGCTGGGTACAATCTCTTTTAAAAAATGTACGAGTAAGGCTGCTTCCTCAAAGAGCTTTTCAAGTAAATGTTTCGCAAGTTGGGGTTTTATGGACAGTATTTTTGTTAGTAAATGTTTGTCCTCTAATCAAGGGAAAATCCAATGCTTGTCTTAGTTATAGAGTTTGAGGGGATTTATAGAAGGAACAAACATATACCATTCCAAAGCAGGCTAATTGTTTGCTTGAAACAGTAATTTGACTTTCATGTGAAGCATGGTTTTAACTTTTAATCTCATTTGGCAGGTTAGGTATCCAGTGTTACTGACTCCTGCTGAGAAAGAAATGGCGAGAGAGGTTTGCATTGCATTCAGGCAAGCGGTATGTTGTATTAATGTGGTACTGTATTTTATTAAAAGATATAGTCGTTTTGTTTTTTGGGTGTGTGATTATCTTCTGAAGCAGGGGGTTGGGCTCCTTGTTTGTGCAGTTAGATTTATTTTTGTTTAATTTCTGGACTGATCATTAATCGTAGTGTTGTATTGAAGTATTGGTATTTTGTATTGTAAAACTGCTATTGAATCTTGCCAATGATCATATATCTATTTCTCTTTTCACCTAGGGCTGCTTGTTCTTTCATTTTGTAGTTTCTTTTCCTTTTGACTGATGTTTGATCATTAGCTTGGAAATTATGTTCTAAATCCTTTTGTAGACAACTAATGGTCTTGACAAGTCCTATCATGGAATATTTATTTAATTGGAAATATGTAGCCTCCTAATTTTTTTTCCCGAGGATATCCTATGTGAGCATTTAATGTTCGACTTTTTTGCGTCACCTGACTTTACAAGTCCTGGGACTATGAATCTGTGGGCTAACTACTGTGGTAGACAAGATGTAGTTGGGTTAAAGAAGTTTGCACAATGTTTTATGGATTTAAATTAATTCATGTGATACTCTTTTGATAATAAGGTTTGTAATGGCTTCTTCCTCCTGTGGCTAAAAGAAAATAATTTGTTTGTTCCATAGTAGTTAATTGCGCTGCAATAGCGCCGTGAGCCGCGCCGTATGGGCATTGCGGTGCCTCGCCGCAAGAAACCGCGCCGCGCCACATCGGAACGCAATAGTGGTCATTGCGATTGCATTTACGGCCATATTGCTGTCATAAGGCAAAATATCAATTTTGTCCTAAATTTAAATATGTAACAGAAAAAATTTAAGTGTTTTTTAGTCTATCCGCGTCTCTCTATGTCACTTCTACTATCTCTGCCTTTAAAAAATATTTTTTTTGTCATTATTTCTGTCATATATCTATTCTGCTATTTCCGCAATCGCAACCTGCTATAACGCTATAGCGTTTTTCAGGGTTGCATTTGATAACTATTTTGTTCCACTTCATGTCCTACTAAAAGTTTTCTCGTTGCTTGCAGGTTTGTGGGTTTGATCTCTTGAGAAGTGAGGGATGCTCGTATGTTTGTGATGTGAATGGATGGAGCTTTGTTAAAAACTCACACAAGTAACTTTTTGTAATTAGATTTTTTTGGCAGTGTTTGTTTTGATATTGGCAGCAGGATCAACATACATCAATAGTTATTCACTTTCTTTCTATTAATCAGAAAATCTTAAGATCAGCTCTTTCCCATGGGATTTAATCTGAGTTGGGGATTTTATTGGGCCCTTTCATCCTTAAAATATATTGGAAAAGACAGATGCTCCGATACTTAAATGATAAGTGCTACGGTGAATTATTAGCTGGAACTTTCTACCATCATAACCAATGTGAATAGGGTGTTGATTTCTGTTAACTATATATTCTGATCCCATCCCATAAACCCCCTATTCACTAAAAGAAACATTTCTAGTAGTTGCTATTGTTATTAAAATGCTTATATAGTTTATCTCTAGATAAGAATGTTGCAAATTATTACTCCTACCTTGATTTAGGGAATCAATTCTGCTATATTAAATTGGAGTCTGGAGACCCAATCATTTATGTTCTATAATTTTTAGGAATAATAGTTTGATCAAAAGAATAACTATGATCAATTTAAAGAACATGTATAGCATAACACTCAGTGAAATGAATAAAGAAAAATGAAATGTTTCATATTCAAATTTTAAAGCATTAATGAAATTTAGTAAGGCTTAGGGTTGATTTTTGCTACTAGCAATCCCTCCTTGGTAGGTGATTGGTGAGTACCATTACTATCTCTCGCAAAGGCTTGTGGCATGCCCTAGATTTTAAATGGGGTAGCCTCTCCTCCCACAAACTTTTGTCAAACCAAAGTTAAACCAAGAGAAAAGAATGTGAAGAGGTATATAGGTGAACAGAATGATTAAATAGGTCTCTTTGTCTCTTATACACTCTGCTTAAGTATCTCACAGACCCACTTTATTCCTTAGTACCTAAAAATAATTACATAAAAAACGTAGATATTCTCTCTAAGCTACAAATTAGTATTTAGTTTCCTTTTTTGTGCTATAGTCATTACATAGTGATGAAAATTACTTCAAGGAAAAATAAATTCCCCTTTTCAATATGTACTGTGAGAAGGATTAAAAAATTTGAAACTCTTCTACGTGTTGTAATGTTGTTACGCTGCAACATAGCAAAATAAGAAAAAAAATCAACCATTTTATGCCAACTTTGCTTGTTGTAAGACAAATTATCCTTTTGATATGTTATTTTTTACCATGCGTTGTATGTTTCTCAACGTTTTTATTCTGATTAAAAGCACATTATTTTTCCTTGTTGCTACTGAAGGTATTATGATGATGCTGCCTGTGTGCTGCGGAAAATGTTGTTAGATGCAAAAGCACCTCATCTTTCTTCTGTGATTCCACCAACTTTACCATGGAAAGTAAATGAACTAGTCCAACCTTCTGAGGGACTAACTCGTCAGGGTAGCGGTATTAATGGCACTTTTGGACAATCTGAGGAACTACGTTGTGTAATTGCTGTAATTCGTCAGTATGTTCTATTCTCTTTTTTATTCAATCTGGTTAAACGTGATATTGTTTCCTATATCGTCTTCTCTTTTGGCAGTGGTGATAGAACTCCTAAACAGAAGGTGAAATTAAAGGTTACTGAGGAAAGGCTGTTGAACTTAATGTTGAAATACAATGGTGGCCGACCTAGGTCTGAGGTAATACAATGTTGTAGTGCTTCAGTAATGTTTGTCAAATTTTATTTGAGCTACTGAATTCTTAACCATCCATGGTTGATCTAATGGTCTTATGTTTACAGACAAAACTTAAAAGTGCTGTTCAGCTGCAAGATCTGTTAGATGCCACACGAATTCTGGTGCCTCGCACTAGGTATTTCATCTGCATAGGCTTAAGCATTTATCACATTATAGAGTCACGTGCAACTCACCTTAAATTTCACACCCATGATCAATCATACTTCAATCTTTTTTTCTAATGAAATTTCTTCATTTTTTCAAAAAATTTCCAGAATCCCTTTTTGGTATGTTCGAGGTAGAATGCATCTTTCATTATCTAAGCTTATAAACTAACTCTTTTGCTGTCGCATGTTTACTTTTCCATTTCTGCTTTCAAATAATAGTTGCAATCAGTTTTTTAGTTGGTATATATCTATGCTAAGCCAGAGTTTTGAATTGATTATGTCTTTGAATATTTTTTAGACCAGATCGAGAAAGTGATAGTGAAGCTGAAGATGTTGAGCATGCTGAAAAGCTCCGTCAAGTTAAAGCAGTTCTTGAGGAGGTTATTAATTCTCTTGACAGTGTTTCTTCTATGATGCTCTCGAGTATGTTTTGTATTATGAACCCGCTAGTAATTGAAATTTGAAAATTAAATTTCTGTGAATCATAAATTTAGTTTTTCTTCCAAACTTCTCCACATTAACTTATACCTCCCTTTGATTGGGTTTCTTTTTAGATGTTAAATGAAATTTCAGTTCTATATTAATTGTCAGATACAGCTCTACTTGGAAAACTTTTCAAATATATAGCCATTTTGGAGTTTGGAACGCATACTCTTCTCAGTAAGCCAAAAAAGTTTAATTCTTTGTTCATAATATTTATTAAGTTATATGGCTGAAGCACATGCCACATTGGCTATATTGAATAAGGAAAACTGAAGAGACACCACTTACATGGGCTGTCAAGCATAAAAAATGAAATTAACATTGTTTCTCTGTTGCCCATAATACATCAGGAAATTTGTCTGTTAGTGGTAACATGCCGAGCCATATAGCTTATACTCCTGCATGTACTTTTAAAGCCTGAATAATTTCAGTCTTCATTATTATTATTATTATCAAAGTCTTGAGTTGTTTAATTTCTTTTCCTTTTCTCTTCATTATCAGGGAGGTCATTTCTCTGGCATATATAGGAAGGTTCAACTAAAGCCACTAAATTGGGTCAAAGTGACAAAAAGCAATGGTGAAGTTGAAGAACGACCTGTTGAAGCTCTTATGGTTCTTAAATATGGTGGTGTTCTTACACATGCTGGCAGAAAGCAGGTTCAGATTAACGGACATAAAAAAGAAAAACAAATGTTTCTACTCAGTTTGAGACTTTGAGATTTGATTGTATTGCTGTTATTGTTTAGAATAAATAAAGAAATTTTCATTTATAATCTTCTTTGGCAGTTGTATTAATTACTTTTTATTTTTTCAGGCTGAAGAATTGGGAAGATATTTCCGGAATAAAATGTATCCAGGTAAAATTTAAATAGCTTTTCTTTTAGTAAATGTCATAAATTTAGTCCTCGAATTTTGAAATGTGCTAGCCATCAATATGTTTATGGAATTTATTCTTATGTAACTGCAGCTGTAAATGCAAAAACAGAGTGATGTTACTATCAAAAGATTATTAGCCAGCAGTGACTGCACAGAATGGCTTTTCCAATTTTATTTATTTTTCTTCATGCTGGTACTATGAATGTGTCCCCACACTCGTTAGTCGGGTTTAATGGAGCGTGGTTTTTTTTTTTTTTGGTACTATGAATGTGTGCTTTATAAACTTGGCTTCTTACCCACCCCACTTTCCCAGAAGTTTTCTGTTAACATGTCTTTAAGTTGAAATGATTTGATTTTATAGTAGTTATGACCCAAGTTTGAGCCATGACTGGCGCCAGGGTAAAGTAACCCAAGCACCCTTAGTTTGCAAGCCTTTTTTTTTTAATAAAAACTTATGAAACAATGGAAATTCCACATGATTCATATTTCAAATTTTACTTAAATTTTGACAGAGTTTCCCATATATTTCTAATATGCCAAAAGATATAAAACACCTTATATGCAATGTATACATCACCAACCAGCAACAACTACAACAAAATATATAATTCAGACTTTAGAGGCTTAATACAACTCAAAATAGTTTCACTAACAAACTTCCCTCACTCAAAATAGTTTCACTAACAAACTTCCCTCAGCTGCAATTTAGATAGTAAAATAAGAGAGGGTGAGCCACACAGACTTAGTAAGGGCAAAATATAGATTCTTCAAAGCTTTGGATAATGGATTTACCTCAGTGAAAAAAAACCAATTCTTGATGAGTGGGTTGCACCCTTTTCTTCTTAGAGTATCTTCCTTAACTCCAAAAATTTCCCAAAATCTATTTTCAAGAGAAAGGAATGGGTAAGCTTTAAAGTTTCAACAAGATTCAAGAGGATGCTTTAAATTTGGCAGGAAAAGCATGAAGAGGAAGAAGAAGAGACGAGAACAAGATGAAGATGAGTAGAAGAAATGGTGAAAATGGGACTTTTGTCCAATGAGGTTTTGAACCTCATGTCTTTGAGTTTTTTTTTGTTTGTAAAATGACCATTATACCCCCCTCCTTTTTTATCTATACAATGCACAAACCTTTTACTCTTAGTTTCTTATTTCGAATAAGTAAGCGTACTTACTTTCAGTTAACCTTGTTATTTTATGATGAATCTGACCTTGAAGATAACTCATGTTTATGAATGTATTTTTAGTTATAAGACCATAATATGATCATCCATCGTGTATTCACCCTTGTTTTCCCCAATGGAATGGATGTGTCTATTGCTGTATTTTAACATTACTTTTGGCTTTAAGGTACACACCATAATTTGTTTTATTTGAGATTATAAAAATGAATGACAGCAGTTTAGCTTGATGTTCAGATATGCTGGCCCTATACTTGCTCTTTTTTTAAGCCTCTCCCAAAAAACATGAAGCATCATTTCTATTTACGTTTTCCAAAAAAAATTCTGAATAAAGTTGTCATAATAGAACTAGCCATGTACAACTACAAGCACAGCTATATTTTTTATTTTTTTTTTGTATAAACACAGCTATATTTTTTAATTTAAATTTTAAGTGGCCATGTCCATGCCTTGTCCTGCCATGTCTGAGCCGGGAAAAAAAATTTAATTGGACATTTACAAAATTTAAGTGGCCATGTCCAAAATGGTGTCTACTATGCTTTATAGATCCTATGATGTGAGTAAGAATTGGGGGTATTGGTATTTCTTGTGTTTTAGTCCACGCAATATATGTTTAACCCAGGATCTTGCATTTTATTTCATGTAGCATCAACTTGACAATGCCTGCACTATGGATAACAAAGGCAAATCTTTGTGTTGTTTAAAATTGCAGGAGAAGGTACAGGGCTGCTTCGTCTCCATAGTACATACCGTCATGATCTTAAGATTTACAGCTCTGATGAGGGTCGTGTGCAGGTATGGATTAAGTTGCACTAACCATGCCACCTCCAAATTAAAAGAAGGCTAAGTGGTTTCATTAGTGGTTGCTACATTTATTATATATATTTTTTATTTTTGATGTCTTGACATTGTTGTTAATAAGCCTAATTTGTCCTTTGACATAATCTGTATGTCATTTTTTTCATGGCCTATCTTAACAGATGTCTGCGGCTGCTTTTGCCAAAGGTCTCCTTGACCTAGAAGGGCAGCTAACCCCAATCCTGGTTTGTGTATTTTCCCAGAAGAAAATATTTGATCTGTTTTTGTGTTGGATATATTTGACTGATTTGGTTATCAATTTTAAAGGTTTCTCTTGTCAGCAAAGACTCCTCCATGTTGGATGGGCTTGAAAATGCCAATACTGAAATGAAAGAAGCCAAGGTTTGTAATCACTTTGGTTATTTATATTGCCCGCCTTCTATATCATAGGCATTATGAATGGTGGTGAAAATGGATTGTGGTTGGAAACATAGAGAGATTTGTTGCTCAATATTATTGGAAGGCATATTGTTTTACTTTTTGATTCTCTATCAACTACTGCATAACATTGAACCACATTAACAACAAATTGATCAACAAATTTGGACACGGTTTTTTAATAATCATTTTGTCATCTTAACCAATGTCGTTAAAACAGAGTCTACGCTGAAACGGTAGGAGGAAGCAAAAACGTAAAATCGAGAAACGTAAACGAAACGTAAGAGTTTACTACATACCAAAAAAAAATATCCAACATATATATAACCAAAACACACCAATACATAAGTCATCACAAATTTAAGTGCAAACACTAAAGGAAATAAAAATTAAGTTCAAACTTAGTCATCATAATACATATTAAAATCAAAACACCTAGGTTGAAAGAGAGAATAAATATCCTTCCAAAGAAGTTGTATAAAAAAAAAAGGGCAGGTTATATTTACAAACTTTTTTGTTTACAAACTCTTACAAACTACACTATATTCTCCCGGGAGAATACAAACTTTTACAAACTACACTATGTTCTTCCGGGAGAATATAGTGTAATTTTGTAAAAAAATTCAAAAAAGTTTGTAAACAGATCCTGTCCCAAAAAAAAAAGCCCAAACATTATCTGATTATATATTTTAAAATTAGAATAGAGATATTTGATTAAAATTTGTTCCAGTAAAAGAATGGAATAAAAAAATTAATTGCAGTAGTTAACTAATTTTAAATCCAAAATTTGACACTAACAAATTCAAGCATACGCATACCCCACGGTCCCCACAATATTTGCTGTGAAAAGGCCCGTGAGAAAAAAAAAAATTGGCGTGAGAAGTTGTATATATTTGGCTTAAAAAAAAGAGGCACATCTTGAAGCAACGATGAAGAAGCAAAAAAAAAAAAAGAGGCACAGCTTGAAACATCAAAAGAAAAGCCTCACATGAATGAGCAAAGAAAAAGCAAGAAGCAAGGAAGGATGAAGAAGAAGCAAGAAGAAGAAGAAGAAGAAGCAACAATGATTTTTTTGTTTTTGGACGATGAGAAGAAGCAAGGGGGCGAACCGGAACAGTGGTAAAACTGTTCTTTCATGACTGAAAGGTTATAGGTTCGAATCCAGGAAACAGCTTCTTTGCAATTATGCAAGGGTAAGGCTGCGTACAAGAATTGCCTCCACCCCACACTCGCTAGTCGGGTTTAACGGGGAGTGGTTTTTTTGGACGATGAGAAGAAGCAGTAGGCCAGCAGAAAGTCAGCAACGCGACCTTCGTTGAGCGGCCAAGTAGGGATCTTTTGTTCTAATTTGGGGGAAGACATGATTTCTCAAAAATACCTTTGCATTTTTTATTCTAATTTACCGAGTTGACTCATCGTTTCGACCCAAAACCCGTTTCAACTACTGTTTTGACACGTTTTTGGTCATAAAAACGTAGAAACGGTACGTTTCTACGTTTCGGCACTACGTTTTTACAACACTGGTCTTAAGGAGCTAGATAATACTAGTTGGGTGTAACAAAGAGATGAGGAATAGATTCAAAGAAAGAGGATTTTTACAGATTGATAGAAAAAGAGAATAAGAGAAATTTTATTGATAGAAAAAGAAAGTACAAGAGACAAGCTCTTCACAAGGGGCACTCCTCTTCCCCTTATATACGAAGGAGATAAGGCTGAATTGTCATGCCCCCTAATTAAAATCTCTTTAACTATCTAATCATTCAACGTAACTCACCAACTAACTCCCCAGGCTTTGGCTTTCTACTATATGCCTTCAAGTCTTAGTATTCTTGGTATCTCTGCGTAACACTGGGCAGAGGAAATCGAAATGGCATACCTCCCCTTTGTTGGAGAGTTACCATTTAGTCAAACTGATCAAAATTTGCTGTTGTTGATTGTTTTGCAGCTACATAAAACTATTTTTCCAGTAAGTGTTGGAGAACTTATTACCAGACTTTGCAGTTTTATCAAGGAGTTATATGGTTAATTGCCTGACACGAAAACTATATTATTAGTCTTTTTGAAGCAAAACGAATAGTCACATGCTTTGACAGGATGTCATATTATATTACTTATTTTGGAATGTTGAGAAATAATTATATTGTATACTTATGCTTAAGAATTAGGGCTAAATCCTGAAAGTTATCAAAGATCAAGAAGAAAAGAAAAAGAAAAAAAGGAATTCTACAGGGCTACATGGCAAAAGTTGTTGAAAGATCTATCCTGTGTCTGATGTGTGGGAGGGAATCTATGATGAAAAACTTCTATTATCATGAGTAGTTGAGTACAGAAGCACTACAACTCTGTAAAAATAACAAAATTAGGAAGAAATTTAATATATGTATATTTTTTTAATTCAAGCTTCTAAAATGTATTGATTGACATATGTATATTGAAAAAGGTTTTCAGTATATCGATATTGAATAATTACTTGAGGAATGAAGAGTATTTATACAAGAAAAAATAGCTAAGCATGACTCAGCTATGACTCACCAAACCTAATCACAATCATAAGAATGACTCAGCTATGACTCACTAAACCTAATCACAATTAATTCTAATTAATTACAATTAATCCTAATTAATAGGAAATAAAAAACAATCAATTTTAATTAATCTTAATTATTCCTAATTAATAGGAAATAAAAACGGAAAAATATTTGAATTTGAATTCTGATTTTCTACACTCCCCCTCAAGTTGGGAGGTAAATGTTGATCATTCCCAACTTGCCAATCAACTCTTCAAAGGCTGGCCGGTGTAGGCCCTTAGTGAGAATATCTGCAATCTGCTCTTTGGTAGGAATATACACCATCCATACACTTCCATCATCTATTTTTTCTTTGATAAAGTGGCGATCAACCTCCACATGTCTTGTTCTGTCATGGTGAACTGGATTTTGAGCAATACTGACAGCAGCCTTATTATCACAATACACTCTGACAGGTAGGGAAAAAGAGATCTTCAATTCCTCAAGGAGTCTTTTTAACCAAATTCCTTCACAAATACCATGGGCTAGAGCCCGAAATTCTGCTTCTGCACTGCTCCGAGCAACAACTGTTTGTTTCTTACTTCTCCAGGTCACAAGATTTCCCCAAAATATAGGTGCAATATTCTGAAGTGGATCTTCGGTCTAATGCAGAGCCAGCCCAATCTGCATCTGTATATATTTCAATCATCCTCGTGTGTCCCCTTTTAAAGAACAATCCTCGACCAGGGGTGTTTTTGAGGTACTTCAGAATTCTATAAATTGCACTCAGGTGTTTTTCCTTAGGAGAATGCATGAATTGACTAACCATGCTAACTGCAAATGCAATATCAGGCCGAGTGTGAGATAAGTAGATCAACTTTCCCACCAATCTCTGATACTGCTCTTTGTCAACATCTTTCCCATCTTCGATTCCCAATTTAATATTGGGTTCAACTGGAGTCTCTGCTGGCTTGCACCCAAGCATTCCTGTTTCTTGTAACAGGTCTAGAATATATTTCTTCTGAGTTAAAGAAATTCCTGCCTTACTTCGAGCAACTTCCATGCCTAGGAAATATTTGAGAGATCCAAGATCCTTCAGTTCAAACTGATTAGCTAAACATTTCTTCAAAGAGCTTATCTCCTCACAATCATTACCTGTGACAATTATGTCATCAACATAAACAATGAGAATAGCAATTTTACCACCATTAGAGTGTTTTAAAAATAAAGTGTGATCAGTCTGAGCTTGGAGGAATCCTCTTCCCTTAACAACTTGAGTAAACTTCTCAAACCACTCTCTAGGAGATTGTTTAAGACCATAGAGAGACTTTTTCAACTTGCATACTGAATCGTCTCCTTTTTCAAAACCAGGTGGTGGATCCATATAAACTTCTTCATGTAGATCACCATTCAAGAAAGCATTCTTTACATCTAATTGTTGCAAGGGCCAACCAAGATTTGCAGCAAGTGATAAAAGAACTCGGATAGTGTTAAGCTTGGCAACAGGGGCAAATGTCTCTTGATAGTCTATCCCATGAGTTTGAGTGAATCCCTTAGCAACCAGTCTGGCCTTATACTTGTTGATGTTGTTATCTGCATTAAACTTTATTGTGAACACCCACTTGCAACCTACTGTTTTCTTTCCTCTGGGTAATGCTACAGACTCCCAAGTTCCATTTTTGTTGAGTGCATCCATTTCTTCAAAGACTGCATTCCTCCATTTTGGATCATCAAGTGCTTCTTGGATATTTTTTGTATTTTTATACTGTCTAACATAGTGTTGAAAGCACGAAAACCTGGGGACAACTTTTCATATGTGATATGATGAGAAATAGGAGGAGCAGTACAAGATCTAGTACATTTTCGGAGAGCAATAGGCACATCTAGGTTGGCTGTATCAGTGTTGCTGGAACTAAGACTCGAGTCAGAATCCTAGCAGTCTAGAGGCTCCTGAGGTGATTCTCGCCTGCTGTAAAACTTTCCCCATTTCCCGGGAGGATCTCTATTATCTGACACATTAACTCCCCCTGTCTCCAACGGCAAAGGCAAAACAACAGAATTATTTGGTTTCCAAGACTTATCTTCATCAACCCCAATAGACTCCCCCTGAAGAGAAGTCGAAGGAAAAAAAGATTGTCTCTCATCAAATGTGACATGCATAGAAACAAAGACCTTACGAAGTGAAGATGGTAACACTTAGCCCTTTTGGTTAGGAGGATATCCTATGAAGACACATTTAATGGACTTAGGATCGAGCTTGGACCTTTGATGGGGAGGAACATGTACAAAAGCCACACAGCCAAACAACTTGGGAGGAAGGGAAGAATGAGCCCAGAAAGAAGGAAAGGTGTGGGTAAGACAAGATAAAGGAGATTGAAAATTTAGGACATGAGAAGGCATCCGATTGATGAGGTATGCTGCAGTCAAGACAGCTTCCCCTCACAAATATTTAGGGAC